AGCTGGCGGAAGAGGCAAATGACAGATAAGCTCACGCCCAGAAACCATCAGGAGTAGCGAAGCGTGGGGAGCCGAACCTGCAGCATGACATGAGCGCCGGGCCAACAGCCGAGAGCCGCCACTTCGGCCGCAGAATAGGCTGCGATCGATCGATTCCGTCCATCGTGCGTCAGGTCAGCCAGACGTGCATCAAAGCTGCAGCTTATCTGCTGAAGAGAGAGGGAGACCTTTGATGATGCCATAAGCTGGCTCAGACAGAAGAATCTTGACAGCCTGATCCACTGTATCCCTCACGCTCTACACACAACACATCACAATATATATAAATATATAAAAAAAATAGTGGCAATTAGCTACGATCCGAAGAAACGGGGTGGGACGCGCGTACGGAGGAGGCGTTGGGGTGGATGAAAATGGGACAAACGCCGGACGAGCAGTCCGGCCACGCCTGCCACGGCGGATAGCCGTTGGGGCCGGGACCGATCACGCCGAGCGCGTTCAACAGGGCTCCTACATTCCATTATTCCACACGCGCCACGTCAGTACCAAAATAAAAAATATCGAGCCAGCAGCTAATAATAATAGCCCGGGGGAGGTGCCTGGTGAGATCTCGGTGCCGGTGGTATTGAGGAAGCCGTGGTCCGACGCAACGATGACGGTGCCGTTGGCGAGCAGGCCCATGCTGCCCCCACCACCAGCGATGTCAACACCCGCGATTGGCGTGATTGAAATCAAATACACACCGCGATATGAAAAAAAAAGTGTACCGGTCGAGCTTGGCGAGCATCTGGCCCAGCAGGCTGTCGATCATCTTCAGCGTCTTGATGGCCTCGTTGCTCATGTATCCGTGAGCGTGTTCCGCCCCATCCTGCACGATTCATCAGAAACAAAAAAAGAACGCCGCGGAATCGCGGGGGAGGAGCTGGTACGAGGTCGTTGAAGTGGAAAGCGAAGAGGTCGGGCGTCTTGTAGTCGAGGAACTCCATGGCGATAGCGGCTCGCTGCGGGTCCATCAGGAGACCGAACAGCGCCTGCGGGTTGGGCAGCACCTTCCTGGCAGCATACACCAACGACACACACCACACACACAACGCTCAGGCGCGATGTTTGGCCATTGCGGCTTGGTTGCGTGCGTCGAGGCGAGGAGTGAGGGCCGTACTTGATGGGTCCCTTAATGGTGTTCCAGAGCCACTTGGCCTCGTCGAGCGTGGACGGATCGTCGTCGTTGCCGGGGAACAGTGGGTCGAGAGGCGCGCCCACGGTCACTGGCCAGTCGATGCCCATCGCTGTGAGGCCTGCGCAAGCCCCAACCCCCCGTCAACCTTCGCGTGCGCGTGCGCGTGCGTGCGCGTGCGTGTGCGTGCCGAAAGCATACCGAGTTCCTGCGCGGCGTCGAAGATGGTCTTGGCAGTGATGTCCTGCAGCCAGCAGCGTCAGGAGACCAAAAACACACAACTGCTTCCTCCAGCGATATGGAGGCACGTACCTGGTAGAAGTAGTGGTTGTTTCGGTTGGCGTCAAGCGGACCGAACACGTTGTTGTTCCAGATGCCATGCTTGGCCGGATTCACGCCCGTCACCATACTAGAAACGAATGTGTACCAAGCAACGCCCAACCCGATCAGTAACATGCGCACACAACAACTACACAACTGCACAACAACACAACTACAGAACAACACCACAACACCACTCGTGCATACCTGGTGTGGGAGGGAAAGGTCACGGCGGGCCACACGGTCTGGGAGGCCGAGGCCAGGGTGCCGCCCTCGATGAGCCGGGTGAGGGTGGGCAGGCCCAGTGCCCGCGCCTGCTGCAGATAGTCCGTGCGCATGCCATCTCTTGCGAACACCCCCCCCCCCAATGTACAGTCAACAGACAGCACAGACTCTGCTGGCAGAGCCAGAGCCGGCAGAGCTGAACGAGGAAAGAAAGAAGAGGGCATTGTTTGGGGGGGAAGACGGAGGAGCGTTGGGGGTACATGGAGAAAAGGAAGACGGGACCAGGCTTGGCGGCGTACGTGCACGCCACCAGCAGGACCACGAGCAGTGCCCCAGGGCAGAGCCGTGAGCTCGTGGTGTGCAGCTGGCACATCTTAATTTTATTTATTTTCACAAAAGAAAAGAGACGAGCAAAAAAGAAAAGGACAGGCGAATACCTGCCTTTTTTCTTGGATTTGTCTGGGACGGGCAAAAAAAACAAAAAGCAAAGGGCAACATTTGTCGAATACATCAGCATCAGATGGAAACCCCCGTAGCCACCGTTCCTACCACAGAGGCTTCTGCCGCGGCTCCGGCCTCAGATGCGGCTGCCCAGGTTCCAGCTCCTGCTGCGGAACCCAAGAAGGATTGGTCCGATCTAGCTGAGGAGGAAGGTTAGACCCCGATCACAATGCTCGATTTGGATCGTGAATAGATCAAATGGAGATGGAGTAACATATTCCTCGGGTAACAGATGAGGAAAAGACGCCCATCAAGATCTCTGGCCTCGCGCCTGAGGACACCGATGCGAAGCTCGTGATCGACCAGTCGAACCCCGATTCGCCCCTCTACTCGGTTGGCTCGTTTGAGGACCTTAAGCTGCGCCCCGAGCTGCTCCAGGGCGTCTACGCCATGGGCTTCAACAAGCCCTCCAAGATCCAAGAGACCGCCCTCCCGCTCATTCTGGGCACCTACGGCCAGGCACAGAACCTCATCGCCCAGTCCCAGTCCGGCACAGGCAAGACGGCTGCCTTCTCGCTGGGCATGTTGAGCCGCGTTGACGAGTCGAAGAAGGTCACCCAGGTACAAATTCAACCACCATTCCATTTTCTTGTGATTGTTTGGGAGTAATTAACGCTCATCATGCATGACCAACATCACAGTGCCTTTGCATCTGCCCCGCACGCGAGCTCGCCCGCCAGCTCTTTGAAGTAATCACTGAAATGGGCAAGTTTACCAACATCAAGACCTTCCTTGCCGTTAAGGATGGTACGTCTACTTCTTATCTCTCCACTCCCAGCGCGAGTCACGTACTGTTCTACGCCAGACGTAGAGATAAAAAGTCCTCGCTGACGTATTGTGCCACACATACACGACACACACCACGCTCTCTTTTTACTATCAAACGCAGTGCCGAAGATGTCGCAGGGCTCCTTCCCGTACCAAATCGTCGTCGGCACGCCCGGTAAGATCACTGACTTGGTGAAGGCGAGAGTCATCAACATGCGCGAGATCAAGATCTTCGTGCTCGACGAGGCCGACGCGATGCTCGATCAGCAGGGCCTCAAGGACCAGACCATGCGCGTGCACGCGTACGTGGCCCCGCTCGTCGTGTGTGTGTGTGTGTGTGTGTGTCATGCACAACCGCAGGACATGACTAATGACACACGACCTCTTCCTGGCTGTAGAATGCTGCCGCGCCAGTGCCAGGTCCTGCTGTTCTCGGCCACCTACGACGAGGAGGTGACGGCGTTCGCGCTGAAGACCGTCCCGCAGCCGAGGACCACCATGCGCCTGGAGAAGAGCCAGCTGACCGTCGACAAGATCGCGCAGTTCTACCTGCCCTGCAAGACCGACGAAAACAAGTTCACCATCCTCTCGGACATCTACGCCTACCTCACCATCGGCCAGAGCATCATCTTCTGCCAGCGCAAGGACACGGCCGAGATGCTCGCCCGCAACATGAAGGCCGCCGGCCACACCGTGTCGCTCCTGCACGGCAACCTCGACACCAAGGAGCGCGATGCGGTCATCGACGAGTACAGGTTCGGCAAGACGCGCGTGCTGATCACGACCAACGTGCTGGCGCGCGGCATCGACATCCTCCAGATCACGCTCGTCATCAACTACGACGTGCCCGTCGACAGGACCGGCCGGGCCGACTACGCCACCTACCTCCACCGCATCGGTCGCTCCGGTCGATTCGGACGCTCGGGCATCGCCCTCAACTTCGTCTCCGACCAGCGGTCGCTCAACACCCTCAAGGACATCGAGCGCTACTTTGGCAAGTACGTAGTATTACTCTTCTTTCTTCTTCTTCTTCTTCTTCTCGGTCTCATGAGCTGACGCTGATGCTCTCTGGTTAGGCCCATTGCTGAGTTCCCGCTCGACGATCTGCCCAAGCTCGACGCCATGCTGCGCGAGCTGAGCTAAACGCCCCCCCCCATCAAATGGGCGCTGGAGGGGGCGGGAGGTCGCCCGTGGGCCAAACACACACAACCCCCTAAATTATACGGAAGAAACGAGGGCGACGAAGAAGGCTCGACCCACTTCGCAAGCATCGCTTCACGAACAGTCGTCGTGCTGCTCGCGCAACGCCCGCGCCTTCAACTTCGTTTTTCAACTTCCCACCCCACATCGCCATCATCCTCCCAGTCGAATCATCACCATCATCGTCGTCATCGGGCAAGGCCGAATTGTCACCCTCTTCACCCGAAATTACTCTCTACACCTCCTTCCTCCTCCTCCTCTTCATCTCATCACACCATCATCGTCGCGACCACCATCACACTTCGACGAAGCCGCCTCCTTTCTCGCGACGCCGAATGTCGTGGTTCGTCACCGGCCACACAACGAGCCCAGACCCGTGGTGACCTTCAAGCGCGACCACCACCTCCTCGTCGTCGTCCGACGCCGCGAAGGACCCCACACCAAATTTTCCCCAGCCTGGGACCTCGAGACCCGAATTCATTCTCTCCTTCGTTCCCGCCACGACCGATGATGCCCGTTGCATTCGTTGGTGGACCACCACCACCTGCCCACTGGCCCTCGCCCTCATCCCAGCGCCGACCCCCAATAAACCTGTTCACCCCCTCCACGCCGTCTTCTCCTTCACAGCTTGGCCAGGTCGCGCAGCCTGGCCTAGGTGGTGTCATCGGGTGCGACGCCGGCCTGGTGCGTCTTGGCTGCCACACGCTGGCCTCGTGCTGCGTCGCCGACGCCGATGCAGAGCCCGAGCAGCGTGTCGACGCTCTTGGCCGTGAGGCGGTCGTGCTTCAGCGCCGAAGTGGGCTGGCGCGCTGCGAGCGCGAGAGAGATGAGGTGATCTTGGCGAACCAGCGCTCTGCTGCGGGCTCGCCGGGGGTGCGAGCTTCGGCGGTTTTGGTGGTGTTGCGGCGCCGTTGCCGGCGAGGGCGGTGGTCTGGTCGCAGGTGCGCGGGTGGCGGTGGTGGAAAACAAGGCCTCGAAGGGCACCAGCCGGACTCGCAGCCTCTGGTGGGGCCAAGAAGTGTGAGCCGCGAGCACCGGGACGCTGGCATCGCGAGCGAAAGCTTGCCCCTTTCTTAATAAACAAAAGCGCAAGACTGCGATCTGGCTAATGGAAAGCCCTGGCGCGTGGTCGCAACAAGGGGCGACTCATAGTGATGTGGAGGTTACGGAGGCGGGGTGGAGCAGGCCGTGGCCCACGCCGCGGCGGCAGTTGTGGAAGATGAGACCGGACGATATGAAGCCGCCCTTGAGCAATACCTCGCCGCCGCGTCCTCCTGCACGCCAGCCTCGGTCGCTCCCCCAGCCCTGGACACGTCAGTCCTATTTGTTGGAATGTGCGCCGAATTTACGGGAATTGGAACAAGGATGGCACCAGACGAAAAAAAACACTCGGACAACAAGAGCCACTACACAAGACAACAAAAAAGAAGAAAGAGCTGCAGTAGATGGATGAGTCGGAGAAGAGCAGCAATGAGTTGGTGAAGGCGCTGCAGAACAAGAGGAGGCGTAGTGTATCGCTAACGAGTGGCAAGGGGCAGAAGGCACCCGCCCTCAACCCCTTCGTCAACGAAACTCGCTGCCTCACCCCCTACGAGTACTTCAAGGTTTGCCCTCAACAACACGGCAGCACAACCAACTTTTATTTTCTATTTTGAACAGACAATGCAGGAAAAAAATAATATAAAATAACAATCAAAAATAACTATAAAAACAATACGCTGGTTCGGTGTTAGCTCACAGCTTTGTGAATGGCCAGCTCGTTGTCTGCGGCGTGCTGTTGTTTCCCTTGCGGGCGCTGAGCCTTATCCTGCTTATCCTCTTCTCGTACCCGTTCGCCAAGATCGCCCTCCTCGGGCTCTCTCGCAAGGTGCTGTCGCAAGACTCGACTGCTCTTGCCAATGCACGGTCCAGCGTGGACTGACAGAGGTGTGGTGCTGATTGATTGTACGGCCGTGTGATTGTGATCGCAGGAGCTGCAGGAGCGGCCCTTGGTCGGATGGCGCAAGATGATGCTGTTGGAGCTGCGGTACACCAAATGCATTTCTATATATATATTTGCACAAGAAACCTCTCTACGCGTGTACTGACTGGCCCTTGCCACGTGCACAGCTGGGCCTGCCGACTGTTACTGCACTGTGTGGGATTCCATTGGGTCAGGACCAAAGGCCATCCTTCTTATGAGGCGCCCATCGTGGTGTGCAACCATCCTTCCATCGTCGAGCACTTCTGGTACTGCTCCCACACAGTGTGCACCACCGTGCGAGTGCCGCTACGTTTCTTTTCTTTTTTCTTATTTCTTATTTCTTTCTTGCTTTGCGTGTAGGCTGGTGCATGTTTTTAGCCCCTCGGTCGTGGCCAAGGACAGCTTGGCCAAGCTCCCTGTACTGGGCACCTTCCTCAAGGCGTTCCAGTTGATCTTTGTGAGCAGGTAGCCCTTCAACTTGCTTTCTTCTTCTTCTTCTTCTCCCAAGCCAACTCCCGTCGTGTCGGCAGGGATTCGCCCACGTCACGCAAGGATACGGCGGACACGATTCTCGCCCGGGCCAAGACCCACTGCGAGGCGAAGGGAGTCGATACGTGGCCGCAGGTGATGCTCTTCCCCGAGGGCACCAACTCCAGCTCGCGTGGCATCATCAGCTTCCGCTTGGGCGCCTTCACCCCGGGTAACAACGACACACACTCGAGAGTCTGCAGTTGCTGACGTGTGCCATTTGTGTGGCTTGCCCGTATTTGCAGGGCTGCCCATTCAGCCGGTGGTGGTTCGGTATCCGTTCAAGTACCACGACGTGTCCGCCTCGGATCCCGCACTCCCCACACTCTGGTTGCTCTTCCGCACCATGTGCCAGGTTTGTGCCGCCGCCGCACACATGACCAACGACACGCACACGACACGACACGACATGAATTGCGCGCCCCTAACAGTGCAGATCGCGATGAAATCCGCGGGAACTGCAGTTCTACAACCGCATGGAGGTGCAGTACCTGCCGGTCTACTACCCGAGCGACGAGGAGAAGAGCGACCCCAAGCTGTTCGCCAACAACGTGCGCCAGGTCATGGCCCGGGCATTGGGCGTGCCCACCACCGAACACGCCTACGAAGACGTCATGCTTCAGGGCGAGGTGCGGAGTTGGTGGGAGGGGGGAGGCTGTCTCAATGATGCGCTGACGTGGCAATGATTGGGCGCAAAAGGCGGTGAAGAAGCACTTCCCGGCGCCCATGGTGCTGCTCGAGGCCGGACGCATCCACGAGGCCTTCGATTTCGTTGACCTGTCTCGCGCCAACCTCCTCAAGTACTTCGAAAAAGTACTGCGCCCTCCTTTACTCGTTTTTCGCCTGGCCCTACTCCTACTCACCATAGCGACACACGCGGCACACGACACACACGACACACGCCCATCTCGCTCGTACAGTTCATGGAAATGGACGCCGATCACTCGGGGGAAATCACCTACCCCGAATTCGTGCAGTACGCGCCCCCCACAAACCCCTCAACCCTAGCGACCGCCGAGGGGTTGACTCAATCGGCCACAAGTGAGCGGTTGTGTTTGTGATTGCTGATGCGCACCACCACCATCGCGTACAGAGTGCTGGGGCTTCCCGATACGCCCTACACGCAGAACCTGTTCCATCTCCTCGACGTGGACGAGAGCGGCAGCATCGACTTCCGCGAGTTTATCACCGGTACGCTCACCAGCGCTAGCAATATAGGATCGATCATCTTTGATTACAGTGGACCAACAACAAACAATAGCAACGTATTCGAAACGGTTGTTAACCCGACCTCTCAACAAACGGTGGCGTTGGTGTGTGTGCCAGGGCTGGCAATGCTGGACAAGAGCACATCGGAGGAGACCCTGCGGTTCGTGTTTGACATATTCGACGTCAACAAGGACGGCAAGATCTACCGCAACCAACTCGGGTGCGTGTGCCCCCCTCCCCCCACACGCTCGTCGTGTCACGAACGCGCGCGTTGCTCACCCACACCCCAAACCCACCAATCAATCCAGGTCCATCCTGCGCACCGCCTTCCCGGCCCTCACGGAGGAACAGATCGACGATCTGTTCGCGCGAGTGGATGTCAAGGGATACGGCGCCATCACCTACGGTACCGCCTTCCCTTTTCTCTCTTTTCTCTCTCTTCTCTCTCTTCTTTCCTTGCTTGCGCCTTCCGCGCCATGTCACTCACACGCCGGCCCGGGCGCCAATGTCGCCGCCAGACGAGTTCGTGGAGTTCGCGGGCAAGAATCCAGAGTACGTGCGTCTGTTGCTCGACGTGAGGAAAGAACGGCAGAAGCAGGAGAAGCAGCAGGTTCAAGCCGCCTCCACACCACAGTCCAAGAAGAACGACTAAATATTACCCTTATCCTATCAAGACGACACACATTGAGACTCTGCTTCACCGAACCCTTGTGCAGGTCCCACAATAAACGGAAGAGCTGAATCCAGTTACCCACAAAGGCGTTGTCTGCGCAGGTTGAGGGCAGAGGTGCTCCAATGCTTCAAGTGGAGGACATCCCGACAGCCGGACCTTTACCACTCACGATGGCGAACCAGGTTCGACTCCTGGCCGCTCCAATTAATTTGACTGGGGCGGTGGTGTAACGGCAACACGCCATGGACCGGTCTGTCATCCACGCCTCCGGCAATCCCGCATAAAGATTGCCCCAAGTGAACATCTCATCAACCATGCAGAAACTGTGTTCGCTTGGGGTGCGCGGGAGGCGTGGCCCGTCCTCTCACATAGCTCCATCACCTCCTTTTTCTTTTTAACGTTGCTTGCTTGTATGATACCAGTATGTTACACGGTAACAACACAGAAAGAGTAAGTAAGCTGGGCAAAATGCACGCGTTGTTGAAAATGAAGAACGAAAACGCGGACAAAGAGGTCACCACCACCACATGGCCGTGGTGGCGAGCAGGAGCATCATCCTCATCAGCCTCGGCTGCCCTGACGGGCCGACTTACCCGGGCGCTTGCCTCCTGCTCCGCCGCCACCTCTGCTACCGCCTCGGCCTCCTCGGCCACCGCGGCCACCTCGGCCACCTCTGCTACCGCCTCTGCCCCTGCTCGCCGTTAACGTGTCGGCACGCGTTAGCCCAATGGGTGCGCAAAAGGGGGCGCGTTGCGTGTGTGTCGTGCGTCGTGTGGTGCTGAAGTGGCACTTCGCACCTGGGGGCGCCTCGCCCGAACCCGCCAGACATGTCGGCTGTCGACTCGGCGGTGTTCCGCTTGCTGCCGCGCTTCTTGCCGCCGAATCCGAACTTCTGGTCCTTGGCCTGCCTCTTGCGCGACTGGTTGGGCGCCGGCGAGTCGGCCTTGCGCTTCTTGGACACCTTGTTCTCGGCCTCATCGAGAATGCCCACGTCAAAGTCCTCGCCTGCGCCGCCGGCATCGCCGCCGCCCGACTGCTTCCGGTCCTGCCGCCACTTCTTGACGGCGTCGAGCTGGACCTTCTTGCTCTGCTGCTTCTCCTCCGTCCGCTTCCTCTGCACCTCCTTGCCGTACTTCTTGATCTCTCGCTGCTTGCGCTTCTCCACCGACGCCTCGAGCTGCGTCTTCTCGGCCAGCAGCTTGGCTCGCACCTACACATCCGATGTGAACCACAACCGCACACGCACACGCACATCCGCAGTTTAGCTTCGCACGCAAGGCCTCAAGGTGCGACAAGCAATGACGGCGAGCTGACCTTCTGCATGTGTTCGTCGCTCTTGAGCATCTCGGCAAAGAAGTCATCGGGTCGGCGCCACACGAAGCCCTGCTCCTCGAACGCCTCGATGGCTCGGCCCACAGACTGCATCGCCTGCGCATAACTGAAGAGAGCAGATAAATGTTAGTTTTAATTGATTTTAATTCTCTTTTTGTTTATTCGATTATATTTCTAAATTGCAACGGAAAATGAACCACGATTTGAGTAGAATCGGCGATTTGTGAAAATTGCGAGAGAAACGTACAAGGCAGCCTCACGAGCGAGATCGTCGTTGACAGACGCCATGGTGATGCGATCGGGGGTGATGATCTCGAGGCGTTCGAGCCAGGGCAGGGAACGGCCGCTGCCAAGCACGATGTCCTCGTATCGGCTCATCAGGCCATCGACGTCGTTGATTTGCGGGGGACCCTCCTCCCGAGCCGGTGTGCCGTCCTCTCCCTCCTCTCCATTTTCTTCCGCGACCATCTCCTCTTCCACTACTTCTTGCTCCTCATCTTCTTGGATCTCCTCCTCGACCACCTTTTTGGACGGCTCCGGCACAGCGCCGGCGGGTGCCCTTTGTCGCTTCTTCTTGATCATGGACATGCTGAATTAAATAATAAAAATGAGCTGCGAACGCAGATGAGAGATGAAGAGACAAGCCTTCGATCGGAGCCCGGGCACAGCTGTGCTGTTTTGTCCGGCAAACTTTCCTTTTCTTCTTTTTTTCGTCGAGGCCAGGAAAATGTGAAAGAAAAAGGGCTGGAAATGAAAAACGTGTCACCCTTTGCGCCACTCGTTGTTCGGTGCCTTGCCAAGTGAGTCGGCCAGGCTTGGTTGCGCGCACGCAGTCGAGATGAATCCCGCTGCTTCCACGAGCGGTGCAACGCCTGGTGGCCCTGGCATGCCTCCTGGAGGTCCACAAGACTGGAAGACCAAGATTTCCATGGAGGATCGTCGTCGCCTCATCCAGAAAATGTACGCACATTCCTCGCCCCCCCCCAAGCCTCTTCAGTCTTGGGCACTTCATTTTGTAAAGAGCCTGCCATCTCTCGCTGCTCGTTTTTTATTTTCATTTGTATTTTTATTTTGCATTCTCGTTCGCCTTGCTCTCCACCGTGTTGCCGGTTCTCACTACACGTTGCGTGGTGGTGGTGGTGGTGACAACCCCGTAGTGTGGGCGTGCTGCGGGAATGCGTGACAGAGGGCTCGAACACGGACGATGCCAGCCAAGCGCGCCTCACCTCGCTGGCTGCGCGATTCGAGGACAACGTATACCGGTCCGCCAAGACGAACGAGGAGTACTTCCACCAGATCGCCAACAAGATGTACAACCTCAAACGCAAGAAGGCCGTGCCCGGCGGCGACCTCGCCAAGGCGGGCGCCAGCGCCGCTGCACCGCCGCCGCAAGGCGTGCCCATCGGTCGGCCCACTGCACGTACGGACTCTGTGCTGCGCAGACCCACCACACGCCTTAGAGATCGTTTGCGTTATGACCGGCTGATGATTGTGTGTTGTGTGTGTGGACACGCGTACAGCCAACCAGCAGCCGGGGGCGATCGGGGGCCAGGCTGGAGCGGGACACATGCGACCCGCCGGCCCGTCGATGGGCATGCCTGGCGTCCAGCCGGGCGCTGGGCCTGGCGGCGGCATGGCCAACCCGCATGGCGCCATGGCCGCGGGACCCGTCGGAGTGCCGGGCAACGCTGGCGTGCCAGCCAAGGTACGCGCACTTTCCAGAACGCATTCTTGGCGCCAGCCTCTACACGTGGAGTGCTGACGTCGGACCGGCCGATCAACTAATCAATCGACCAATCGGGTGCGCGGCAAGCAGCCGCCGGGGATGCAGGCTGGTGCGGGGGCGCCCATGGGCATGAAGCCCGCCGGCGGAGTGGTCAACCAGGCGCATCGCCCCGCTCACATGGTACTGCCACCACCACCGCACGTGTTTCCTTCTCTCGCGTGTGCTCATCCGATGATGGTGGTGGTCACCCCCACGATAAATAGGCCGGTCCTAACCAGGCCCAGCAGCACGCAATGATGCAGCAGCAGCAGCAGCAGCAACAACAACAACAACAACAACAAATGCAGCAACAGCAGCAACAACAGCAGATACAGCAGCAGCAGCAACAAATGCAGCAGCAGCAGCAACACCTTCAACAGCAGCAGCAACAACAGCAACAGATGCAACAGCAGCAGCAGCACCTGCAGCAGCAGATGCAGCAGCAGCAGATCCAGCAACAACGGCAGGAACTACAGCAGCAACAACTGCAGCAGCAGCAACAAATGCAGCAAATTCAACAGCAGCAGCAACAGCAGCAGCAACTCCAACAGCAGCAACTCCAACAGCAGCAGCAGCAGCAGCACCAACAACAATTGCAGCAGCAGCAGCACCACAGCAGCAGCAAAAGCAGCAGCACCTCCAGCAGCAGCAGCTTCAAGACAAGAGCGAACTGGAGAGGGCCTACTGGGACAAGGTCAAGCTCATGCAGAACTACATCCGGCCCATGTCCACCATGCTCCGACAGATCGAGCGACTGCTGGAGAACTACGCCGGCGACAAGGCCAAGCAGGTTCGCCCCTTCCCCCGCTCCGCCCCAGTCTCTTATGCTTCGTCTCCCCCCCCCTCCGCTGATGTTTGTTTGCTCGGCCGTGCGTGTGTCGTGCGTGTTGTGTCGGGCTTGGCTGGTGAGCAGGAAAATCTGAAGGCCATCAACAAGAAGATGGTGTGCATCTACAAGCTGCTCCACCAGCAGACGTCGCAGCCGCCCAACCTGCAGCAGTCCCTCGAAGTCCTCGACGCCGCCGAGCGCCAGATCAAGCACTGGCTCCAGCAGCTCCAGATCAAGGACGCCAAGCCCGCACAGGTAACCTACTCACACAGCCAAACCCACACGCACTCGCCCGCCGTGGTTGACCCGTGTGTGTGTGTGGTGTGTGGTGTGTGTCGTGTGGTGTGTCGTGTGTGATTTGTGAAGCCGCAGCAGCCACAGCAGCCACAGCAGCCGCCGCAGCCGCAACAGAATGCCGTGGCACAGCCCCAGCAGCCGGGCGCGTCATGGAACCCGCAGCAGGCCGCCTGGCAGCAGCAGCAGCAACAGCAGCAAATGCACCCCGGCCAGACCCAATCGCCGCCCGCCATGCACCCACAAGTCGTACGCGCACGCCTGCCCGGGCCGTGCTCGCGCCCCCATACTCACCTTCTTCGTTCTTCTCCTTCGTTCTTCTTCGTTCTTCTGCAGGCGGCCGGGTTCGCCCTCGGACCGGGCGGACCTGGGCAGGCCAAGCCGCTGTCGCCAGCGGTGCGCACGACGCCCAGCCCGCCGTCCATCACCACCCCGCCCGCCGGTGTTGCCAAGCAACCGTTGCCCCACGCCACCGCCGAGTCCTCGGCCGCGCCGTCCGCTGCAGCCCCGCTCCCACGTACCGCCCCAATCTGCCCCAATGGCTTACATATCTGGGCCTGCTGACCCGCCGGTGGTGGTGGCTGGTGGCTGGTGGTGGTGCAGCGATGGCCAAGCCGCAGAAGAGCACCTTCCAGCGCTTCGTGGAGACGGTGAAGGCCATGGACTCGGCTTCGCCGCAGGTGCTCCAGCAGGCGGCCCACGCCTTCTCCACCTCCCTCGAGCACGTCACGCGCGGCTCCTGCCCCGCCTCGCTCTTTGGTACTATTCTCTACTCCCCCCCCCCTCCTCCCTCCCTCCAATTTGTGCTTTTATGTGCCCTGCCTGACACGTCATCTCTCGTCTACAGAGGCCAACCTGCCCGACGTCGCGGAGGACGCCGCCAGCGGCCCCTTTTGGTTCCGTACGTTACACACCACACACTCACACGCACGGCACACACGACACACACACACGACACACACAGAGAAGAGGGGGGATGTGCCGCGTGGCTCTGGCTGACTTTCGGGTGCTCTTTGTCGCGTGTTCGCACTTAGTGGAGGACGGCGATGCAAAGCTGCAACGCGCCGCCAAGCGAAGAAGGGTGCAGGGAGGCGGCTCGGAGAAGAGCGAATTCCCTGTTCTGCTCACTTCCCACGAGTGACTGGTTCCCATCAATCTGCGTGCATGTACATACCACCACGATGGTTACTTTGTTGTTATTTCCTCTGCACCAACACCGCCGGTTGATGGTAATGAGTGTTGGGTACTGTCACGCACACAGACACTACTGGTCGTGGACCCTGATGTGGGTTGTGGGTGAAGGACGTTCTGCGTCTTATTCATACCATGATCAGCTTGGGCAATGTTCTTTCTCTATTATAATTCACAATTATTGTCTTGCGTGGTGCGTGGTGTGCTCCCAACTTGAGGCCTTTCAACCGCGCTTGGCGACGCCGCCCTTGGACGAGGGCAGGTACTTCTTCTGCTCCTCGAGCTCGGTCTCCATCCACCAGATGGCGCCGAGGGGCGAGCCGGGCTTGGCCTTGACCTCCTCGAGATAGGCCTCGGCCTCCTCCACCTTCTGGCGCGCGTCGTCGAGCGCGGCCTCGGCGGCGCGGGTGGCGGCCTCGAAGGGGGCGCGCGCCTTCTCGGCGCGCTTGAGCGCGGCCTCGAGCGTGATCTTGGCCTTGCGCAGCGGCAGCGGGTCCTCGGCCAGGTGCTGCGCCAGCTCGGCCTTGGCCTTGTTCTGCTGCACGATGCCGCCCTCCGTGCTCTTGCGCTGCAGCTCGGCCGTGCGGCTGTCGCGCGCCGACTCCTGCGCGTTGACGTCGGCCAGCGCCGCGTCCACCTCCTCCTGCGCCGCCTTGAACGGCGCCTCCTGCAGGCGCGCATAGGCCGCCTGCTTCTCCGACTCCTTGAATGCGGCAGTCACACCGTCGAGGAGGGCCTGCGCCTTGTTCAGCTCGGCACTGTTGTCACCTGCACATAGAACGCCACCACCAGCCAACCCACATTTTATTAATAAGTTTATACTTACATATCATTAATCATTTTCATACTATTTTGTGTTGTGAAGCAGAAAAGAGCGAAGGGGGAGGTACCGGCCGAGTTGACGAGGACGTGCCAGTCGACTTCGTAGCGCCAGAGGATGTAGTGGGTGAGGGGCACGGCCTTGGGCCGCTCGGTCTGGCCGATGGCGCCGGTCTTCCTCAGCCGCTCGCGCAGGGCCACCACCGTGAGGGTCTCGCCGATCTGTTCGAGGAACCGGTGCGCGTTGAGCTCGTCGAGGGCCGTGCCCTCGGCGTGGCGCTGGGCGTCGAGGTCGGCGCAGAGCTGGACGTGCTTCCACAGCTTCTCGGCCTCGGCCTGGAACTGGTCCCAGAAGGCGTTGAGGAACCACACGGCCTGCTCCTTGTAGGTGCGATTGCACAGGTCGGCCAAGCGCTCGAGATCGTTGGAACCAGCCAGTTTGCCCGCCATGGTTGTGTTTTGATTTGTGTGGAATTGAGATTTGTGGTGTGGGGGCAGAGGTGCCTCTGTTGTTGTCTAATTAGGTGGATGACGTGGATGTCGGCACGTGGGCCTGATTGGACGTCGGAGCAACCCAGAAAGAAGGTCCAGGGCGACAAGAAGAGGCCTTTTAATTTGATTTGTTGTTGTGGCCACGACAACAAAGTGAAAGCATCTAAACCTGCTCCACTCCACAAACAGAAGAGATGTCGATCAAGCTGAGCGGTTCGAATGACTCGGAGAAGTTGGCCTCGCTCTGCCAGCAGACCTACAAGAACCAGGCCATCTGGTTCCTCAACGCCTTCTGGGACCAGTTCCAGGCCGAGGCTCCCAAGCTCTGGAAGATCGTCGGTCAGTGCGCTGACCTCGATGCCCAGCGCCACGGCGATGGTGCGCCTCCCCCCACTGCATCAACTTCGCTCTTTTCTTCGTTTTCGTTCTTCCCCCCCCCGGCAACTAAACCTAACTTGTCCGGCGTTTCCGTCGGACGACAGGCAACGGTCTGGACGAGGTGCAGGCCCACCGTCTCCTCGAGCTTCTCGGCGAGACCCTCACGGTGGTGGCCCTGCGCGAGCGGCTGAGGAAGACCGGCGCCATCGGCAGACCGAGCGACCCAAGACCGTGCCCCTCACCCACTACATCTTGTGGCGCTACGAAGTCGACTGGCACGTCCTCGTCAACACTACCGGTACACACTCGCCCATTCATGGCTCCTCGTTTAAACTGCATGCATAGTGAGGGCTCACCCGATTGGTTGCAATGGCATGCATGACACATCGCAGGCGACAACAGCGAGGAGATCGCCAAGGCGCAGCAGCTGCTCGACCAGGTGTCGGCCGCCTTCCAGGAGGCGGACCGCCAGGCGCAGCTCTCGCGCCAGGCCGAGGCCCACGCCAAGTCCGAGGAGGCCCAGGCCATCAGCAAGGAGAACTACGCCCGCGAGCAGGAGGCGCCGTTCAAGGCGGCGCAGGAGGAGGTGGACGCGGCGCTGGCCGACGTCAACGCGCAGGAGTCGGCGCGCGACAGCCGCACGGCCGAGCTGCAGCGCAAGAGCACGGAGGGCGGCATCGTGCAGCAGAACAAGGCCAAGGCCGAGCTGGCGCAGCACCTGGCCGAGGACCCGCTGCCGCTGCGCAAGGCCAAGATCACGCTCGAGGCCGCGCTCAAGCGCGCCGAGAAGGCACGCGCCCCCTTCGAGGCCGCCACCCAGGCCGCCGTCGCCGCGCGCCAGGCTGCCGAGCAGGCGAGGCGCGAAGCCGAAGTGGCGCGCCAAGCCGCCGAGGCCGCGCTCGACGACGCGCGTCAGAAGGTGGAGGAGGCCGAGGCCTACCTGGCCGAGGTCAAGGCCAAGCCCGGCTCGCCCCTCGGCGCCATCTGGTGGATGGAGACCGAGCTCGAGGAGCAGAAGAAGTACCTGCCCTCGTCCAAGGGCGGCGTCGCCAAGCGCGGATAAGTGCTGTGGGCGCTAGGATGTGCGCTGAGTATGGCGCGAATGTAGAGTAAAGACAAACACATCACTTGTTATGCGCCGCCTCATGTGTGTACACGAGCAGTACCTGGTGTGTGGTCACCATGCCTCCGCTTCATCGTCGTCGGAGATGCGCCAGCATTCGCTCGTTTCTTCTACTTCGGCCGTGTGGTGCTCCAGAGCGCACAGCTCCTGCAACAGGCTCTCCTCCGTGTAGCCAGCCTCTTCTCGGTCTCTAGGTCGGCACTCGCCTGGTGGATCTGTTGTCATGGCTGTAGTTGCGGACGGCGGTGGTGATGAGGGCGGTGGCGGTTCTCTTCTTCGTTTGCTCATCCACCCGCCGCTGGTCGCCAAGGCTGGCGTGTTCTTCCGATCTGTCGTTGCGCTTTTCTCCCGCTCGCCCTCCGCTCCTCCGTTCCTGGTCATTTCGGCCGCAGGTCCCCCATCAACGTTGGCCAGGCGTTTCTCTTGCACTTCCGCTTCCGCATCTTCTTCTTTCTCTTCGTCGTCCTCTGCGGGCACCTTGCGCCGGGCTACATGGTGTCGTTCCTCCGTGGCCGCCGCCGCTCGTATGCCTGGGTCGCTCAGCGCCCTCCTGGTCGGTCGCGTGCGTGGCGATCCCTGGAGCTGTCGCGCTGGTTCGGGCGCCGCCGGGACTGGTCGCTGTTGTTTGCTCCTAGGGCGGGGTCGCACCGGCGGCGATCCGTCAAGTGGTCGCTTCCGCGAGTTGGGGCGATCGAGAGCGGCCATGATAAAGTCCTCGCAGAAGTCCGGCTCCGTGGTCGTGGCCGTGGTTCGCTTGAGCGCGGTGGTGAGCCGTCGGTTCTTCACCACCCTCCGTTTCGGCTCCGGCGGCTGGTCGTCATATTCAGCCTCGCGGGCCAGGGCTACGAGCGACGACGCCGACAGGTGCCGGTGCAGGGTGGTGGTGGTTGTCGTTGTGGTGGTCACGGGTGGCCGTAGGCGGCAGGCCGCCGATGATGGGTCCGCAGCTCCGCTAGCGGAGGCCGCACCGCCCACGTTCGTCAGACACGACGAAGTGAGTCTCTTCAGCGCCACCGCCGAGCACTCGGTCAGCGGGACCAGCCCGCGCGGCTGCAAGAACGACACGAACACCTCCAGCTCCTCGAACGACGAGTGTATCGAGTAGAGCACGTGCTGAATGTGCGCACAAATGGTCACAGGTGACAGGCACCACGTCAGCACTGCGCACACTGTCCACGCGCGACGTCGTGGAGCCCAATCAGCGCATTGAGGGGCGCGGGAGTAGGGCTGGGTACCCAGATCCCGTGGGCGTAGCAGGGCCTGGTCTGGTAGAGTGCGGGGTTGCCCCGCCCGTTTCCCTGCTGCCCGAACCACTGGGTGGACTGTAAAAGAGGGTTCGGGAGGTCAGATCAGACGCAAAGCGATCCGATTTGCGGTTACGGCGGTGGGGGCTGGAGGGGGAGATGCGTACGGGACGAATGTAGAGGGCATCGGGCTCGAGGAGAACCTCGGTCCGGTTGGTGTAGCGCTGGTTCTTGAGGAGGTGGAATCTAGACTCGAGCGGATCGGCAGCGAAGATCTTGGCCCTCTTGAGCTCGGGGACGCACTTGAAGGACTCCCGCAGCTTTTCATCTTCGACGAAGATCTGCATGCACAATCCCACCGCCGCGCAAGCGTTGAGACCCCAGGGGGTACTCAGGCGAGGCGTGGAGTACTACTCATGGCCCTTGTGTGTGCGTGTGTGTACCTTAGTCTTGAACTTTTCTGCCACGGCGACCAGCACGTCTTGCGTGCCCAGCATCTCGCATTCGAGGTACACCTGGCAAAAGAGGCAGAAGAAGGGGGTTCAGCTGCCCAGGGCCTACCCTCGATCAGCCAGGAAAGTTGGTTGATGGCCGCACCTGGACGTTGTGGGGCTGCGAGGAAATGATCTGGAGGACTTGAGCTATGGCCTGCTCCTGGAGTGTGCGGGTCAGGCTCCGCCAACGCTGGCCCACGTTGGCCCGCAAAGGGGAAGTGGCAGCGGTGGTACCTTGGGCGGGAAGGCAGACCAAAAGGGTGAGCAGAACGTGGTATCGATGAACAGCTTGTCGACCATGCCCTGCGCCCGCTTGATGACGGGACACGACAGCATGCCGCGGTTGAATCTAAAGTCCCCTGCAGCCGAACAACACGGGCGCATGTGAGTGGTGTGTGCTCAGCCCATGAAACCTCGGCCGAGCAGCGACGCGTACCGGTGTGGAAGTAGACCCCGAACGCACCCTCGAAGAGGAACATGACCGAGCCGGGGCAATGGCCAGCGTCCGTCAGCCACACCTTGACCTCCGCTGAGTAGTGCAACCAATCATGCTACTCAGAACAAAGAGCAGAGGGTGGAAGGCGTGTCGCACTTGCCAGGAGATCAGGTGTGGAGGTCGTGCCAGGAGGGCTGCTGCCCGTGTGTCGCAGGTCGGGGAGTCGAAGGTGGTGAGGCCCACCGAGTGCCAGTACGTGGACGAGGCCGGCCTCGACCAAAGCCGGAAACTTGTGCCCCAGCAGCCGACCAGTGGTCTCGCTGCAGTAGAGCGGACCTCCCTTCCAACCTTTGCTCAGCCCAGCGTAGTGGTCTACGGGGGGGGGACAGGGGGACACGTGTCAGTGGACAACCCCCAAGGCCATTCAAAGCTCGATTTGCGCCCAGATGAGGCGCTAAAAATCGTGTAGTACCTGCGTGGAAATGGGTGAGGAAGTAGGCCGCAGCGCCACGAACCTTAAAGCAGTCCACGGCCAAGCGCGTATTGGGCAGTACAACCCCCGTGGCGACTCCTACCGCTTGCGCCCTCTCCTCCTCATCCTCCATCTTGTGGATCTCGGGAGTATATCTATTTCCAGTAAAAAATTCGGTGTCCTGCCGTCGGCAGAACCGAAAAGAGGAAGCGGCCTTTCAGAGTTGGTGAAGAGGAGTGCGACGGCCGTGGTCGGCGTCGACCTGCAGGTCGACCTCGAGGTCAAGGTCGTCGATCTCTGCGGGGAGTTCGATGATGTCGGACGATTGCGGGATGCACAGACGCGATTCGAGCCAGCGGAAGAAGAGCGAGACCAGGAGCGCCGCGGAGAGGACCCAGAGCAGGTGCTTGTAGATCATGTGGGAGTAGGCGAAGTGGACCGCGTGCATGCCGTTCATGTTGTGGCCGATCTCCTCCTTGTTGGCCTGGATGAAGAGCGAGACGGCCATCTCCCACCACCACACGCCGTTGAAGAAGAGCGCGAAGGCGGTGATCAGCGGGAAGACCGTCTCGTAGCTCTTCTGGTTGGTGTAGGCCGGATGGATGCCCACCAGCGTCTCCTGCGCGGCGTCCGAGCGCGAGCGCACCAGCTTTCGGCAGCAGCAGCGGAGCAAGTCGGGAATGCCGAGGAGGTAGAAGCTGCTCGACAGCTGGCGACCGCTCTGGCGATATGCGACGGACAGGTCGTTCACCTTGGTGTGGTGCTCGCTGCCCAGGTGGAGATTGACGAGATACTCGGCCGAGCGCGAGACGCCGTACAAGAAGAACAAAAAGGCTGTCACCTGCGAAACAAAGGTGAGCAATGAGCACAGTTTACGAAAGAGGGGAAAAAAGGGCACCTGGTGGCTGAAGGTCAGCAACTCGTCGGGCTGAGGATGAGCGGTGAAGTACAGGGCGATGAAGCACAGGCCAGCAGGCAGTGCCAAACCCCAGCCGGGTGCTGCACACGCCACATGGAACCGAATGAGCGAACAATGAGCACTAATTCTGATTGCTGTACCGGGGGCTGTGAGGGTACCCTTTAGAACTTTGTACTGGTGGAGGAGGGTGAGGAGGCCAGCCATACTCACCATGGAGGTGATGTGGATGTGGTCTTGGTGTGATTCTCGCACGTTGAAGATCTCATGATTCACGATAACGCCGTCCAGGTACTCCAAGAACGCTCCCAGCGCTCTACACAACCCAAATTAGGATGGAGTTGGAAGTGGCCTGGAAGTTAAAGAGGGGGCGTAAATGTATACCCATAAAAGGCAAAGCCGAATGCCTCGAAAGTGATCCAAAACTGTGAAGTCCGCAGCTTGCGGAGGAATGAAACGTCGCTGGCCCGGAGGAAGTGCACAACGCCCAGCATGAGCATCATGGTGCCTGTGCCCAGCCCCTCAACGTCACTTCAAAGTGACGGGGGGGGGCGAGCAAATACAAGAAAGTACCTGGGAAGGCATGCCCGCGAAAGTTGCCCATTACTCTGAGGATGGGAGAGGTGAAGTTGGGTGAGGTTGTAGTAGTCTTAGGGACGAGGGTGGGGATGGCGTGGTGCTTTTGCACTTTCTTTCTCACCTCTTCCTTCACGGCCCGGACCGGTCGGGATGTATGCTTCGTGTTGTGTCTCGACCGAAGCTCCACCAAATTTCCCCCTCTTCAGCTCTGCGCTTTGGCGGTGAGTTTCTTTATCTTCCTTTTCTCTACTCACATTCCAAGCCATGGACATTTTTTTTTATTTTTGTAGACGGGGAGATGCCCGCAAATGCAGGACTGACGCCGTGGCGCTCTCCCCACGTCTGTGGCTGCTGGCAACGAGCAGCTTTTAAATGAAGGTTGCGTCGTACAGGAGGAGGGGGAGGGTGTGCTGGACGCCGGTTGCGTGGGGTTGGCTGGCGGGGCTGGCGTCAGTGACCGGGGGAGGCCGGGTACCTGCTAGCCTAGGGTGGGAGGGGGGAGGGGGTTGCGCGGGCGGCGTGGGCGGGGTTTACTAGTTGGTCCGTCCCGCGTGTTGGCGTGCGAGGGGGAGGCGGGGAGTCCGCAAGTGTAGGGGCGTCTGGGGGGGGGCTGGGGGGCGGGGTGCATGAGGGCATGGCAGCGCTGGATCCATACGGTGTGAGCACCTTTAGCTATACGGACAGCAATCCTATGAATGAGCGCTTTCTTGTTCTTGACGCCGTAGAAGTCAAGGCTTTTCTTGAGGGCCTTGGGAATGTATCCCAGGGATACCCCCCATGTGCTTGTTGTAAGTGTTCAGCTTGCGGAAGGGTTCAAACGTGGTGAGGTGTAGTGGAGCGTGGTCGCAGAACCATAACGGCAAGCGGTGCACCGAGTTGGTGTTGGCGGTGGCTTCCGCGGTGATCATGTCGCGGACGTCGCTGGCAGTGCCCTGCATGATGTCTTTGTTGAAGGGGCATTGGGGCAGGAAGGGGTGGGCCCGTCGTTTCCTTCCCAGGGCAGTTAGGGCACGTTTGTGTACTGTAACGGCGTTGGCGGCTGCACCATGTTTTGAGCCCGTTGGGGTGGCTGGCAACCTTGGCGGGGGGGGGTACGTGGGGTGGGTTAAGGGTCGTCCGCTTGCCAGTATGTGTGAAATTTGACGCTGAGAACGCTAAGCGCACCGTACCTGGCCTTGTGTAGGAAGTCGCTGAGCCTACTTTGCGTGGTTCCCGCTTTCGGACTGAGGGCGGCGTGGGTGGTTTTGTAGTCGGTGTCGGCGTCCCGGAGGAGCAGCCCGCGGGCGGGTTTGCCACTCTGGAGTACTCTCCAGTTTTGGGAATGGTGGGCTAGCGCACGCTTGCGCACGTTGCCTCCGACTTCAACCCCGCGCCCGTCGAAGAGAGTGACTGGGTTGGCCTGGCTGTAGATGGCCCATCTGTCAAAGAGGGGGGGTTGATTGTGGCCCTCATTGGCTAGCTTATCCGCTTCGTCATTGGCGTCGGTCCATCGGCTGAGGTCTCCATGTAGCGCATTTTCGAGGAGCTCCAGCTTATGGTTAAGCGCCTGGACAGCTTCCGACCCTTGCGCTTGAGCCTTTGTCTTCTTGTCTTTGATGTGGCTGTATATGTGTTGGAAGGTGACGCTCTTACCAAACTCTGCTTTGATGGCCTTGATGAGAGAGTGGATACGCAGGGTGACCTGCCGAGCCATGTGTTGCTGCTGCTTGCTGGGTCCCCACGAGTGGTAGTGGCGGATGATGTCAATGGCAGCCTTGGAGTCCGTGACCACCATAATGTTGTGGCCCTTGGGCATAAAATGAGAGTGGCCTCTATAGCGTAGAGTTCTGCAAGTGTGGATACGGGTTGGATGGGGAGTGAGAATGATTTATTGTGTCATGATTTTTTCCCGAGGTACATTGAGCCGGCGGCCGACAAACCAGTGCACAACCCATCCATGAAGACTGAGATGGTGTCAGTGGGGTAGTGGTAGTGGTAATCAGTCTTTTCTTCATCCTTGATCAGTGTGCGGTGCATTTCGGTCACCGCCTTTTCAATATTGAGGATGGTGCTGACCCGGTTACTAACCATTTGCAAGTTGGGTATACAGGCAGCACATTGCAGGTCACAGTAGTACCCCTCTGACACAGGGACCCCCAGTACTTGCTCTACGCTGTGCTTATCCATGAGTTTGTGGTGGTGGGTGAGCTGGCTCCAACAGGTAATGCCCCTGCGCACTAGCTGTCTTGCCAGCTGTGGATGATCCACTGCGTGGCCAACAATGTCCACATCCCTGATTTTGGGCCAAGCAGTGAGGCCAATGGCTTTGAGGGCGTCAAGCCAGTTGGAGACATTGCTGTTTGGTATCGCATATGCATGTGTCCACGTGGCTGTGGTGGTGTGTTTACTCAGGCTGTGGGAATTCAGCTCATGAAACATGGAGGCACACATAATGGCAGCCTGAAGGTCAAGTAGACTGACCAGGCCACGACCCCCTTCCTCAACAGGCATGAAGAAGGGCTCATGATCTTGGCAGGCATGCGCATGGACTGCCGGAGCGTGGCGAGGGTGATGTTCTGCAGTGTGTGCAGGAACTCTGCAGGGTACCTAACTACGCCCATGCTGTACCCAACGTAGGCGTTTGTGACCATGTTGCTGATCATGATCTTGTTGTTCATGCTAAGGCACTTGTGCTAGAGGAGTACTTGGTACTTGGTCACTTTATTCATAATATACTTCATTTGCTCATTCCAAATCATGTCTAGGTTCAGCCACACCCCCCCCTACCCATGATCTTGGCACTTTAGGGTCGTTTGGCCAAAAGTGCATCACAGGTGGTGGTGATGGCGTTTTTGATGGCCAGGAGCTTGTTGGTGGGGTTGTGGCGCAGGGCGGGCTCCTGTTCAGTCTGGTTGGCGTAATTGTGCAGGAGGGTCATCTGGAAGAGGTGTTTGTGACTAGTGTGGGCCAACTCCTGTGTGCTGTATTTATGCATGGAGCAGTTGGTGGCGCCTGGCAGCAGCAACTCAGTGTGGTCCAGCCACAGAGTCACTGAGGCCGGGAAGTGATCTGAGTCAATGGACATGGTGTAATGGATGTCTGCATCAATTATGTGAAGGCTGCTAGGGACTAGGATGTAATCAAGACATGACAGGTACATGGGTGCAGAGTTGTCCACTGAACAGTTAGGGGCGGCCACGCCTGTGAAGGGGGCTGGGATATCTGGTCCAGGGGTGTTGGTTGCACATGTTGAGGTTGGTGGGGCGCCAGCACTGTGCTTGGTGCTGCACAGGGCTGAGCTGCTGCGCTGAAGGAAAGAGTACTTGGGCTTTTTAGGGTGTATGTGTCTGAAGCTGTCCACCAGCCCAATAGCAGGGCCAGCAAGGGCTTGTAGTGCTTTGCTGGGCTTGTAGGTGAGCAGTGTAGGGTGTATGTCCATGCTGTGTGTGGTGGCATTCAGGTTGCCCCTATGATATTCAGCCATCCTGCAGCCCAGCACTGGCTAATGATGGGGATCAGACATTTAGCCATCCACACTTCATTTATTTTTTTGCCCTTGGCTGGGGCGTAGGCATTGATGAGTAACATGTTGTGGTAATTGATGGAGAGTGACAAGCCCATGAGCCTCTTGTTTTTGAAGCTCATGCCATTTTTGACTTTGGAAATTTTATGGTTTAGCACATACTGAGTGACGTCCTTGTTAATCATAATGGCCATGCCTCCCTCCAGTCTGGCCATCTTGAGAGGTAGGTCTTCTATTTTTTGTGCAAGCTGCATGTTGGTGATGGTACCTTTGCCAACTGGCACAAGAAGTGGGACACACTATGCAGCCAGCTGGGCACCCCCAAGAAGGGCTTCACCCCCCACTGGGGCACAAGCTCCAGCTCAAGCAACGCTCCAGCACCTTCCCCCTATGCCCCCTACCCTCAAACCAGCCCCCCACTCCAACTATGAGACCACCTGTAAGTATCTCAGAGAGGACATTGGTGTACTCCATCAGGTGGTTGTGGTTTTCAATTGGGATGCCAAAGCATCTCATAAGTGGGTTGTACTTGGCGTTGATGATGTTGAAGTGGAGGTCCAACCAGGTGAGTAGCTCACACCCCTCAACACTGTGTCCAGAAAAAGGTGCCAGTGGCACCTTTTGTTAAGTAAAATCTGTACAAGTGATATCTGTGTCTGTGCAGCGAAAGCAGTACTTTTGTGAACATGGTGTGTGAGTGGTTTTGGCAAAATATGTACAGAGAGTGGCAAAACAGGGAAAAATGGTGTTGGTCATGGTAAAAGCAGATGGGGCCAAGGAAGAATTTCAAGGCATAAGTCTAAAAAAAGGGCTAATGTATTTTGTTGGAATGAGGAACAGAACAGAGTGGAGGGAAACATTAGCCAATGACTTCCACACTTTCTGTGGACTGGAAGAGGAGGAGGAGCTGGTCTTGGGTGTGAGAGGGGCAAGGGTAGGATGTGAAGTTAGGCCTTGTAGGAAGGAAGTGATGGCTGTGAGATCTGACTCCTCCAGGAATTTAGAGTGGAAGGTGAGGAGCCAGTTGCTGAGAGAGGAGATGTTGCCCTCTGCTATGGGGGTAGAGGAGAGGCAGACAAAGCTGGAGTAAAGGGCAGCACAGAAGGAGAGGAAGTAGGTGGGATTTGGCTGATAGAGAATGTGGTAGGGGGTGGTGGGCGATGTGATGGGGTGGGGAGAAGGATTGGGAAGCTCTAAGCTCTGGATGAGGAAGCTGTAGAGGCTGATGTGAAGCGCAGTGTGGTCTGATGATTGAGCAGTGAGGAAAGCAGGAGCAGAGTGGACAACCTCATGTGTTGGGTGTGGGATGGGGATGTGGTGCAGATAGCAGAAGGGTTTGGATGGTGTCACTGGCCAGAGGATGCCAGATGGTGGACCCTCTTGTGGCTGAAGATGAGAACATTGAAGCCACTGATGAGAGGTTCAGAGGTGGGCATGGAGCTGGAGTAAGTTGGGGAGCTGTAGTAGAAGTGGAGTAGGCAGAAGACCTGGAGGGTGGAGTGTGACTCAAGTGAGGTGATGGCGTTGGCAATGTTGGAGGGAGATGAGGAGATGTAGAATCCAACACCATAAGACTTCAATAGGCAAGTTGCTGCATCATTGATGTTGAGAGGAATGTCCACACTGTGGATGGTAAAGTCATGCATGTAGATCTACACCTGTGGAAGAAAAAAAATGGTGGACATCAGGAATAAGTGAAAAACCTATGCACATTGGGGAAAAGAGTCTACAGATAAAAACCTGATGTGGAAAAGTGTTGACAAATAAAAAACCTATGCGCATCAGGAAAACAATGCAGGCCTATAAACACACCAGCCATTCATGGAATTGCATTGGTTGGCCAAGAAGCTTGGTGAGCAGCTTGGTGAATTGGGGGAGATACTTTTTCTGGAGAGCAAGCTCTGCCTTGTGCTTGATGGTAGATGGCGAAAAGACTTTTCCTCTTCAGCCTTACCCTTGCCACATTTCTTGGTAGCTGTAAAGAACAAGCATGTGGTGAGCTTGGAACTTTACCAGCAAAATGAAAACATACTGGTTGGGGTGGTCAGAGTGGTGCCAGAAGCTTCAGTGGCAGTGGGTACCACAGGCTGAAGTCAGAAAATAGTGGTGTAAGTGAAAGTAATGGGGGGTGAATTGGAACAGGAAGGAGTTGATTGTACCATTTTCCCCTTGGCCAACACAGAAAGACACCAGCACTGTTTGCTTGTGGATGTTGAGGCAAGGGAGGCCTCCTCTGCTCAAGAAGCTGCGGTGGCACATGCAATCTCCCCTTGTAACTGGCAAGGTGTGGTCTCCTCTGCCTCATTGCTGAGAAGTTTCAACTGGAATGGGTGCTTGCAGAACGTGTCAACAACTTCAGAGGTGATGCTGTGGGGCTGCTCAATCTCAATGTTTTTACCACACAGTGCAATGTATTCCACAACACAGATCCAGTCCCAGATGTGGTGAAGCTCCTCAGGATCTTTGCAGCAGCAGTCAGCCTCTGTGGCTGCATGAACAGCCTGACAAAAGGCCTCCATCTGCCTTTTGATCATGCTCCAGTGGTTGGTGATTAGTGACCAGAAGTTCTCTGGCAAGAGGGAAGTAGTTAGACTTGTGGGGAGAAGAACAAAAGAACTAAGAAGAAAGGACATACTCTTGGAAGGGGCTTGGTGTTGATAGCGCTTATAATGATGAAGCATGGCGATCATGTCATTGGCACTCAATTCCCTGAAGGCACCAGAGTTGAGGTTGTCAAGGGAGATCCTCTGGAATGAGGTGATTGAGTTCCTTGATAAGACTGGAAAAGGGGAACAGTTAGCAAGGACTCAAAACAAAGGTGAAGAGTTAGAGTAGGTTTTTTATTTGTCAACTCATTACCCCAATGCACATCAGTTTTTTCTGTCAGCATTATTGATTGCCCCTTTTGTTCACCTTCCTAACTTCATCTTCAAATTTCAGTCAACTTTCTGGTTTTCTTGAGCAGGCTTACCAATCCACCAGCCCAGCTCCTTCCCTGCACACCCTTGAAACTGTTTGGGACTGGAAGAGCTGGCTTGGAAATCACATGCTCCCAACTGACCTGTGATAACTTGATTTTTGATGGACTCACAGCTCACCCCATCACTAATCCTCTCCTTGATGGTCCATTGTTCTGTCTCCAAACCAGGGTCAAGGTTGTCCACACATGGACTACACCCCAAGTCCAATGTTTCAACTTTGCTCCTGGTCAGTGGGTTGCTGTCCAGGCTGATGCTGATGAAGACACTCAGGACTTTTGGATATGCAAGATCATCAGTGTTCTCCATAAGAGGCTCCATGTCCACTGGTGGAACTTCACTAATGGACACTGGACTGACCATGGCTCAGAAAGCACTGTTCCAATGGGGTCTGTTTTAGCTTGTGGCTTTGACTTTAATGCCAACACTGGAGTTCCCCCACCCACCCTTCAAGAAATATTTAGACACCTGTAAATACAACTTCTCTTCTCTGTGTACATTCAAATTCCACAGTGTTTTTATCTCATGTACACCTGTTTTTAGTTTCATTAAAAAGTACCACTGTCACCTTTTTCTGGACACAGTGTTCCTCCTCCTTCATAGATGGACCATGAATTAGTAGCCACTGGTCAGTAATGTCTTCATCTTCATCTTCATCTGAGGTGACGGAGATCTCATCATCATTGGGCAGTGGGGTTGGGCCAGCCTCCAGCTCAGTGATGAGGCAGTTGGTGTTGTCCTCATCTGATGCTGAGTCAGAGTTGGAGTTGATAGTTCTTCTCTTACGCTTGCCCTGCGCGCCATAGCGTTTGGGCATGACTTGTGAGGGTGGTGGGGCGGTAGGGAGGTGAATGGGGGTGGGAGAATGAGCGTGGTGGCGTCTACTTATGTACAGGAGGGGGTGGGCGTGTGTCACAACACGTAGTCTTATTGAGGGGGTAGGGGGTGTACAGTAGGTTCGTCGGTGTTGATCATCTCCATGATTGGCGGATGGTGGCAGCGGGGTGGGGGATTGTGGGCTTGGGCTCGTGGGCTGTTCGCGTGGGAATGGAGGGTCGCAGGCACAACAGGCATAGGGAGTACGGGGGTAGTGTACAGATGTGTGGAGTCCAATGTGCGGGGCAGCGTATGGTGTAGCGGCGTGTGTGGGGGTCGCATGTGTGGGGGTAGGGCGGAACGGGGGTGTGGGGCGTAATGCGTTTGGCTTACGTGTGGGCACGTTGGGTGGTGGGGGAGGTGGCGGGCCTGTAGGTGCGCGGGGGGGCATGGTGTATATGGTACGGGGGGTGCGGGGGGTGCCAGTGGGGTTGGAAGTATGTCAGCGTTGAGGATGCAACGTGAGTAGGGGTGGCGTCGGGGTATGTCCATCTTTTTCTTTTCATCGTGGTGGTCTGCAATGGGGTGCGGGGCGGCCGCAAGGGTACTTTTATTGGGGTAGTGGGGAAACAAAGTCAGGAAGACATAGTCCTGCATGGCGGGTTTGGTGCCCCCGAGCACGGGTTGATGGGCGTTGAAGTGCACGATTTGATGAAGTAATTAAGAAGGAATGTGAATGCGTTGGAAATCAACAGTATGAGACAACTGGGTCCCTGGCGAGCGTATAAAGCCTGCTCGAAGGCGTAGAAACGGGGGTGTACCTGGTTTCATTCGGGCTCTCCTGCGTCCTCTTCGTCTGGTCCATCTTTTTCCGCCTTCAAAAAATGAATTTCTCCAAGCCATGGACATAGCAAACATTCCTAACATGTTTGCTCCGGTTTTCTTTTACGGCAACCAATTATTGTAGACTAATTGGCTCCACGCGTCGTAAATTCGACTTAGGACAACCCACACAAGAAAGACCGGCAGCAGCGGTGGCCCAGCGATCCATCCCGAGCGGAAAAGCACACTCGCCATCGCAGGTACCGCTGCGCCTTCCCATGGTTTACACTTCTTTGTTTAGCCCTTTAAAAAAACGAACAAAAAACGAACGGAAAAAAGAATGAACAGGGGGGGGGGTCGAATCTCGCGTCTTCTCTATTTGTTTGTTTTTCTAAACGCAATTTATGGCCGGATGCCTCTTTTGACGTTCTTCTTCTTCTTCTCTCTCCCCCCCCCCAATCAATCCACGCCACGAGCAGGAGAGGAGCTCCTTTGCTCGATTATATTTTCATTTTAAGCTTCACTCGGAGCCAAGAAGAAGTAGCGAAGAGAAGAGAAGCCAAAAATGTCGTACGACTACCTGGCCAAGGTCGGGCGCGACTTGCCGCCCCTGGTGGAGGTGTGCCGCGGTCTCGAAGTGAAGGTGCAGCAGAAGCTCAACCGGCAGGACTACGACGCCGCGCTCAGGCGCGAGTGGGACGACGCCCTGAAGAAGGCCGAGACCAAGCTCCGCCAGTTCGTCACCCTCAAGGACCGGCTCGACAAGCAGAACGGCGACGACGCCGCGGGCATGCTGACCGGCGCCAAGGTGCCCAAGCTCAACGTGCCCGAGCTCGAGGCCGAGCTCGCCAGCCTCAAGGAGCGCGTCGGGCGGCAGCTCACGTCCCTCGAGCGCCTCGGCTCGCTCGAGAGCGCCATCGACAAGGAGCAGGAGCGCGTGCGCGTCGACGAGCTCAAGGAAAAGCAGAAGGAAAAGGAGAAGGAGAAGGAAAAGCACGAACAGGCCGAAAAGGAGAAGCAGAAGGAAGAAGCACTGGCGGCAGCGGCGAAGGCCGAGGCCGAGGCCGAGGCCGAGAAGAAGGCGGCGGAGCAGGCCGAGCAGGCGCGTAAGCAGCAGCAGCAGCAGCGGGAGGAGGAAGAAGAGCGACAGAAGAAGATCAAGGCCGACGAAGAGGAGAGAAAGAAGGAGGAAGAACAGGAGACCAAGGAGAAGGAGGGCAAGAAGGCCGCCGGAGGAGGAGGCCACGGCGACAATCTGCTCAACCTGATCGATTCGATCAACGACGAGGTCCTGTCGGAGATCCTGGCCGACGACAAGCAGGCCGGCGCCGCCAAGCCCGGACGCGGCCGCCCGCCGCAGCAGCAGAAGGAGAGGCGGCCGCGAGGCGAGCGCCACTCGCCGCGGGGCGAGGCCTCTTCGGTGGCCGCCCTCGCCGAGTCGTCGGTCGTCTCGCCGCGCCGGCAACCGCAGCCGCAACCCGAGCCCCAGGAGCACGTGGAGCCGCAGCTGCCCGTCATCGACGACGAGATGGAGGAGCTGCGTATGCGCCTCAAGCGCCTCGAGGAGGGCGAGGAGATGACCAGCGACAAGGAGAGCGAGCTCGAGCGCGTCGAAAAGAGCCTACAGTGCGTCGTCTTCGCTCTTTTTCATTTTCGTTTTCATTTTTTAGTATTATTTTGACTAAACCGGCGCCTTTTTATGTGGCACCACCAGGGACGACTTTGAGCGCGGCCTGGCGAGGAGAAGCGGCGGCTCGTCGTCATCTTCGTCGTCAGAAAAGGGCGCGTCGCCGACGCTGGGCACGACCCAGAGCGGGGCAGCCGAGGAGGAGGCGACGGAGGAGGACTCGTCCTACATCCTGCACAACGACAACGAGCACAACAACGACGGCGAACACGACCACACGCCGCGCCGCAAGATCCCGCTGGATCCCAGTAATCTCTCCTTCATCCCCCCTCCCCCTCCTTCCCGTATGTCGAGCTTTCCTTCGAGCGTGCGTGTCGTGTTTTATCGGACCCAACTGTCTCACCGCGGGGCATGACCGTGTGTCGTGTGTGCAGTCACTCCGCGCACAAAGAGAGAATTCGAGCGGCAGGACAAGGACGAAGAGGAGGAGGCCGACGAGATCCCCGAGGAGAAGGCCGGCGAGCGTGAGATCAAGTACCTCACGCTCAAGAAGAAGCCCATCCCCAACAAAAACAAGAAGAAGGCCCAGGAAGAGGAGGAGCAGAAGATCACCTTCCACGAGGGCGAGCCCCCCGGCTACCACCGCGTACTCCCCTCCCGTCTGCCTGCATGCCACGCATCCCACTCACCAGGCGAGATTCCAATGTTGCCCCCCCCCCAATGCAACGTTGTGACACACACCCACCCACCCTACAGGGCGGGTATTTGAAGCGCCTGGAGCGGAAGGCCATCGTGAAGCACAAGTGGCAGACCCGTTGGATGAGGCTCGATTCCCAGTACCTGTCGGTCTACGGCTCGGCGGCGGAGGCGTCGAAGGACAAGTCGGGCAAGCTCGCCCTCCAGCAGTACCGCCTCTACGACCTCGAGGAAGTCGCCCTCGCACGAAACATTCACGGAATGGTAACCATCCCCCCCACCCCTAACAAAAGTCGGTTGGGTGTGGGGTGGGCGCCAGGCGGCGATGGCGATGACGGTGGGGCGGCAATGCTGACACACGTGTGCGTCTGGTCAGGAAATCGCCTTCAAGCTGAGGTTCAACGACAGGCAGGTGCTGCTCTCGGCGTCGACCAAGAACTTGATGGCCAAGTGGATGCTCGTGCGTCTCATCCCTCCTCCCCTTCCCCTGTTCTCTTTCCCTCGTTCTGGCTACACCCGCGGAGGTTGGGAAGTTATGACCGTGAGCTGACATGGCGGCGGCGGCGGCGGCGGCGGCGGTCAAATCGCAGGCCATTGATTCTGTTGCCCACAGGCGCAACTACAACGAAACGGAAACAGCCTTCATTACCAAACTCAGCCAAAGGGTACCTTTCCTTCACTGCGCTCTGTTAATTGTGGACATTTTTCCTTTTCTCTCTCTCACATTGTGATCATCGTTGTGATGTGTCCCAACATGTAGGACGTGTGCCTGCGGCGTCTGTACCTGCCGGTGACGGAAGACGGGATCATCTCGTGCATCGTCGACGATGTGGAGTACAAGTGGAGGTACAGGCGAGACGAGAGCTCCCAGGTGGGAGAGCTCGTTTCGGATGATGGCACGCGCGCCTATACTTGGTACGACGTCGTGCCCCCCCCCCGAGATCACACTGCCCATGGGCCGATTTTTCTCACCCACACACGCGCGCGGGTGGGTTCAGGGACGCCGAGTACCTGCGCCCGAAAAGCGATTCCGCGCTGGACTGCGGCTACGGCGTTTGGGATGGCATCTGGCTGACGTGGTTCGTCTGCGCGGTCTTGCGGATTGGCCCACGCTCGGCTTTGGCGCTTTTTGTGCATGCTCTCACTGGTTGCACTGCATTGCGGTTGGAATGACAGGTATTCGGCGGACAAGCGGTTCGTGATGCGCTACCAGTGGCACTCGGCCATCGAGGAGTTCCATTTCGTGTCGGCCTCCCCAGCCATCAAGACCACATTCATCGAATTCCCTCCCTTCAGGTACGACCCCCTCTTTGTTATGGATTCGTTTCGGCTGGCCGCTGCAGTGGCCAATGAACAAACCGCTGTGTGCAGGTACAACGGCAAGGTGCTGCTGAGCAGCGATCGAGCCTTCTCGTGGCGTGTGAAGGGCAACAAGGTGCCGCCGCCCGTCGTCCTCTCCTTGCAGATCCTCTACTACCAGCAGAACGCCAAGCACAAGTAGCGCTCCACCACGACACCGCCCCCTATTTCTATTTTTGTGCCCATCTCGAGGAAATGTGAAAAGAAAAATATGATTTTCCCGTCTTTTTCGGCAACAGTTGGCTTGTGCCAGAGAGCACGCCTGACAGGCAGGCTCGCTAGAGTAGAGAGCGGTGCTTCGGGAGGCCAACCCCGCGCGTGACACAACAGCTGCTGGCGGGGATGCTGCGCCCTCACCCCTCAGGACTCGTGCCGCCCCCGGTGCCCCCGCGCCCCTCGGACCTCGTACGCCTCCTCCACTTCGATTTCGCCCAACCCTTGTGTGGATCCATCTTTCATTTTCTCTGATGCGAGAGGGGCAAGGCCAACCCTTTGTTAGGATTCATCTTTATCTATTTATTTATCCTTTATTTTTTTAATTTCACCTGTTGACCTCGCGGCTGCTCTGCTCACGACCGAGCCACGTGTCTTGTCACCGCACTCACGCATGCACATTCGTGTCGTGCAGTCGTTGGCGTCGTCGAGATCGGCGGAGGAAGTCACAGCCCTGTACCGCAGCAACTCCTCAGACAGCGCGCCGCGAAATGCGCAGCAGCTGCCCCTGTCCTACTCGTCCCCGTCGCTCTCCGTGTCGGCCTGCATCTCTCCTCGCGCCCGGCCGCCCCCGCCTGTGCCTCCGCGATCGGGCGCCACCGGTGCAGCTGCCCAGCCGCCTATGCCGGGCCGACTCGGTTGGAGCGGCGGTGGCGGTGGCGGCAGCACGTTGCACCACCTCTCACCACCACCTGACGCTGGGCAGCGGGTGCAGCAGCGGCAGCGCTCCCGCACGTTCAGTTCGGGGCTCGACGCGCCGACGGCCGATGATGCCCGAGGAGCGCCCGGCACACCACTACCCTCTCTATCTTTGTCGACGTCGACATCATCGGTATCTTCGACGTCGTCTACGCTCGCGCAGTCGTCGCCGACGTTGCGCGCGCCGGTGAAGATGGGCGGCTCGGGGCTCGTCGCCTCGTTCCGCTCACGCGCCAACACCGTGTCGCCGCCGCCGCCGCCGCCGCTCTCGCCCGAACCCAACAAGTTCCACTTCATGGGCCTGCTGCGACCCTCCCCGCCGGCTCCCGCAGCAGCAGCAGCAGCGACGATAACGACGACGACAACCTCGATAATTGCTCCGCCCGTCAGCCCCACAGCGGCTCCCACGAGCGCCCCTGCGGCGGTTGGTGGCCGCAGCGACGACGGCTACGACGTCGTAGATCCAACCGGGGAGGCGTCGGCGGGTCCACCGGTGCTCATCACGCACCTGGTGGGCGTGAACCAGCAGTCGAAGCCCACCCCCTACATCTGGGAGAAGCACAAGCCCGTGCGGAAGCGGCGCACCGTGGTCAACGCCCGCGCCACCCAGCGGATCACCACCCGAATGGCACGTGCCATCAGCCCTACCCCCTCCCCATCTTTGCACAGACCGAATTCACGTGTGCGACGTGTGCGTGGGCACCACCAGCTGACTTGGTAACACGACACACACGACACACACGCACGACACACTGCGCGCCTATAATAGACGCAGATGATGCTGGAGTCGCATTTGGGCGTTCCCGCAGCGAATGAGGAGGTAGAGCACTTCCGCGCCTGCATGGAACGGTATGCTGCTATGCTCAATCGCCCACAGCGCGTGTGGCAAGCTCGCGCCCACTACCTTGGCTTCGCCCTCCCCCTTTCATTCGCGCGCGGGTTGCCTTCGTGACTTGACTTTGGCTTGCCTGCGTGAATGCGCGCGTGTTTGTCGGCGCGCAGGCTGAGTCCGACGTACCAGCAGAACTGGCTGCCCTTCGGGCAGATCCTGGCCAGCACGACGGACGTGCCGTTCTACTTCAGCGGGGTCACCTTTGCCGTGTTCTTCCGCTTCCCCGACGCCACTGACGACCAGACCACCACCACCGCCACCACCACCACCACGAACCTGCCGTTCCTCTTCTGCAAGGGACGCGAGACGCTCGAGTGGGCCGTCCAGGAGATCCTGCGCAAGACCGGCCGCGAGAGCGAAAGGGCTGATGACAAGATCATACAATTCAGCGGCCTGGCGGCGGTCTACGCGTTCGACCTCTCGGTGCGGCTCAAGGACTTCGCCCACGTGCGGAACGCGCTCAAGCGACGCGACAAGATCGTGCTGCTCGTGTGGGACCGTCGCCGCGACAAGCCCCAGCTGTGCGCCTCCGAGGTAATAATCTATCTTAAATCTATCTTATATCTAAACAACCTACCCTACCTTATCTACCCGATCTAATCTATCGTTTACGCCTCCGTGGTGGTGTGGCCACTCCTGTTTTTCCGCTCACTCTTTTGCCGCCGCAGTTCCTGGCCCGGCACAAGCCGGAGAGCAGCCTCGGGTGGGAAGACGACGCGAGCCTCGGCCTGCGGTACCAGGACAAGGAGGTGTATCCACTGGAGAAGCTGGACGACCACTGCGTCGAGGTCAAGCTGCTGTGCGTGGAAAACTTCCGGCCGGAGACGGTGGCCGAGCTCGCGGGTGGCGGATACGCCGCCAAGTGCGAGAGCTTCGCCTTCTACGTGCGCCTGGAGCTGCGCCACGGCGAGCGGACCATCTGCCCGCCCGTCATCAGCAAGCGCACGGCCGCCCCGCCCGTCTGGTGCGAGTGGCTCCGCCTGAGCCTGCCCCTCAGCGACCTGCCCCTCGTACGATACTCTCCCCCCCCCCCAAATCTCTCTCCCTGGCCTCACCCATCGCATCGTGGCGTGACGTGGCGCGGGTCTGTCTGGCAGGAGTCCCGGTGTGTGCTCACCCTCTTTGCCGTCAACCTGCTGCGCGACGAGCAGCTCGTCTACGGTACGTGGCCACGCGCCCACGCCCCTTCTCTTAAGAGCACGTGCCCTCCTCTCTGCCGACTTGGCCTACGAGCGAGCTCGTGTTCCGTTACGCGTGTGTGTTTCTGCTGTCGCAGGCACGGCCTCGTGCAACCTGTTCGATCGCGACGGGTGGTTTATGAGCGGCGTGTGCAAGCTGCCACTCAATGCGTCCGCCGACGCGCCTGGTACGCACCCGCCACGCTGCCCTCCCCTTGCTCCTCCCACCACCAGCCAGTCAGCTCAATGAGCGAGTCGCTGGGCTGCCCACCTCTGACCGATCTCCGCGGATCACCCGCCTCGTTCGTGCAGCGCTGGTGATGGAGATGGAGAGAGCTCCATACCCCATCGCCTTCCCGCAAGTGCCGCACTTCACGCCTCGTACCCACCACACACGACACAGCACACACACACACGCGCGCGCACACACACGCACACACGATACAACACACACGCACACACACACACACACGTCACAACACACACACACACACACACACACACACACACACACACACACACAACACCATGTGCCGTGTGTCGCGGGGGTGCCCTCATCTCATGTGCTCCCCCGTCGCCGCCTCCCCGCCTTCCAGTGATAGGGCGGGAGCGGGCCAACTTTAAGGTTGCGAGCTCAGTGAGCCCCGACCCCGGTGAACTCGCCGCCCTCCACGCCATTCTGAAGAAGAGTACGCCCCGCCCCGCTCCCGGCCGCGCGCGAACAAGAAAGAACGCACACGTGACTCACAACGACGCTGGTGCGTTGTCTACCCCCCCCCCACCCCACAATTTCCCATCAAAGACACGCTGGACGAGCTGTCGGAGGAGGAGCGCACGCTGGTGTGGAAGTACCACTCGCACTGCTTCGCCTTCCCGCAGGCCCTCCCCAAGCTCCTCCTGTCGGTGCCCTGGGAGGACCCCTCCGCCGTCAAACAGGCACACCGCATCTTGGAGACCTGGGACCGCTTGAGCCCCTTCACCGCGTTGCAGGTGCGACGACACCCCCCACCCTTCCTCCCCTTCTCCCCATGTTCGGCGGTTTGCTCTCTCCCCCTACGCACCGCACAGCGGAAGGCGGGCGTCACACCACACACACACACACACACACACACACACAGACACACACACACACACAACCGTTAACGGCAACTAACTCGTCGGTGGTGGCGACGGCGAGCAGCTGTTGGACCAGTACTACCCGGACACGGTGGTGCGCGAGTACGCCGTGCAGTGCCTGTGCGATATGACCGATCCGGACCTGGTCAACCACCTGCTCCAGCTCATCCAGGCCCTCAAATGTACGCACACGCACCACCGCGCACCACGACGCGACCTAGACACGACACGACACGACACGACACGACACGACACGACACGACACGACACGACACGACACGACACACCTCCTCTTCCTCCTCCCTGCGTGACCTCCCTTCCCTCCCAACAATGCGTTGGCTCATACGACCCCCCTTACCATGCATGCGTGATGGTGCCGCCCGCAGTCGAGCGCAACCACGATTCGGCGTTGGCCCGGTTTCTGCTGTACCGGGCGCTGCACAACCGGACCTTGGTGGGCCACTACCTCTTCTGGTACCTCAAGGCCGCCCTCAACGGCTCCCCGACCGATCAGCGCTACCTCGCCCTCATCCAGGCACGCAACCGCCGCCACCTCCTCCACCTCCTCCTCGCACCACCCTGACGTGCCCCCCCCCTCCCTCGCGTGCTGTTATTTTATTAAAGCTTGCTGACCGGTGCATCCACGGTTTGCTGTGTGCGTGCGCGCGTCGTGTCGTTGGTGGTGCAGGTGTACATGGAGTCGTGTGGGGAGCACGCCGACGAGCTCTTCGCGCAGCTCGAGATCGTGGCCAAGCTGCGGCAGCTCAACGAGGCTGCTCGCACCTACAAGAAGGCCGAACGGTACCCCACTTTATTCATTCATTTAGGTTGGTGGTTGGTGGTTGGTGGTTGCTAACACGCCCCTCCCCAAATTTCCGCGCGTGCACCGCAGGACCAAGGTGCTGCAGGATGGGCTGACGGCGTACACGCAGTTTGCGTCCTTCCCGGCGCAGTTCCACCTGCCCATCAACCCGCAGATCGTGGCCACGGGCTTCGTCGTCGACAAGTGCCGCGTCATGGACAGCAGCACCGTACGCCGAGATAGAGAGAGCCCCCACCACCCCACCACCACAATCCAGACCATCTTTGTGTTGCGTGCGTGCGTGCGTGCGAGGAGGCCAATGTGGGTAAGCCTGACCCGTGTGTTGCGTTGTGTGTGTGTGTGTGTGTGTGTGTGTGTGTGTGTGTGTGTGTGTGTGTGTGTGTGTGTGTGCAGGCACCGCTGTGGCTGTGCTTCGAGAACCAGGACAGGAACGGGAGCCCCGTGCTGGTCATGTTCAAGGAGGGGGACGACCTGCGCCAGGACCTCCTCATCCTCCAGGTCTTCACCGAGATGGACCGGGTACCGCACCGGCCCCCGCTAGCGCCTCTCCTCTCCTATCTCCTATCTCGAGATTCGATAGGCCGTGGAGTGAGGAGGAGGAGGAGCGCTTCTCATTAATTCGCCTTTGGCGGGGGCGGGGGCGGGGGCGGGGGTACAGTTGTGGAAGCGGGAGGGGTACGACCTGCACATGTCCATCTACGGCGTCGTGTCCACCGCTTTCAACGAGGGCTTCATCGAGGTGGTCTCCAACGCCTCCACCTGCTCCAAGATACAGAAGGTGCTCCTACCTACTACTGCTGCTACGTGGTGGTGGTGGTGGTGGTCTGGTTTGCGATTGGCACTAACCGTGCGGTGGTGGCTGGTGGTGTAGGACGCGGCAGGCCTGGCCGGAGCGTTGCAGCGGACCCCGCTCTTCAATTGGCTCCAGAAGCACAACACCACGGGTACATGCCGCCGCCGGCAGCAGCAGCAGCAGCAGCGGTCGTCTGATGACCTCCTCCTCTTCATTCCACCTCCTCACTCCACGGCCACCGTTCGATGATCGCGCAGAGCAAGACATCAGTTCGGCGGTGCAGAACTTTGTGCACAGCTGCGCGGCCTACTCAGTGGCGTCGTACGTGCTGGGCATCGGGGACCGACACAACGACAACGTCATGATCACCCGCGAAGGACACCTCTTCCGTACGTAATCAATAGCCCTGCCGCCACCGCCAGCACGTAGCATTTTTGACACACTTACACACACAACACACACACACAACACCAATGTCCACCGCTATTTTTACCTGACCGGTGGGCACCGCACCAGACATCGACTTTGCGCACATATTGGGTGATTTCATGAAGTTCGGAGCCTACAAGCGGGAGAAGGCGCCCTTTGTCTTCACGGAGTACACTCTTCTTCTTCGTTCTTCTGTTCTTCTTCTTCTTCTTCTTTGTTCTTCTTCTTCGCTGCTGACGCTGAATCGGTCCTGCGTCCGCAGCGAGTTCGTCCACGTGATGGGCGGAGCGGTCTCCGACAACTACCAGCTCTTCGTGGACCTGGGCGCCATCGCGTTCAACATACTCCGCAACAACGCCGACATACTCATCTCGCTGTTCGTCATGGTGCGGCTGACACGGAAGCCCCCAATCATGATGGCCTGGCTGCCCTCTCTCTTCTCACCTCCTCTCCAAACCGAATGGCTGCAGATGCTCTCGGCCGGCATTCCCTTGTTGCGGACACGGAAGGACATCAAGTTTTTGGAGAGCGCGCTCGCCCTCCACCTCACCGAGGAGGAAGCCGCCGCCACGTTCAAGGTACACCCTTTCCCGCTTCTCGTAAAAACCCATCCAGCCACTTTCCTCCGCTCACGCTCGATGTCGGGCCTCTCGCTGGCGCAGGGTCTCGCTGCTGAAGCGCTCGCCTGCAAAACCACGCGCGTGCTGTTCTTCATGCACAACCTCGCCCACCCCGATTGAAGACCTCCTGCAAGCACTGTGCGATGCGTATGTGCAGTTCTTCCCCCCCCCAAGCACGGCTAGTGGTGGTTGTTGCCAACTTGGCGGTTGTCGGTGGCGCCCCCGTTGGGAGCGGCGGTCAAGGCGACTGCACGCACGAACGCGGCGAGCTTCTCTTCGTCGAGATCGAAGTCTGGCCCGCTTCGAAGGCCACTGCACAGGTCCAACCCGTGGGGCTTGACCTGGTGGTGGTAGTGGTGGGTGTGTTGCAACGCCACGCAAGGTCGTGGTCAGCGCGCGGCATGCCAGGGGGCAGCGGCGGCGGCGGGCAGGTTCAGGGCCGGTGTACCTGGCGGATGGCATCGGCCACGTTGACGTCCTTGAGTCCGCCTGCGAGGAAGACCGGCACACGAGCAGCTTCGACTACCAGCTTTGAAATCGCCCAGTCGTGGACCCGACCTTGATGATGATCATCCCAACCACCCACGAGGGTGGGGTTGTGAGTGAAGGCCGGGCATTACAAACGAGAGAGAGCGTTGGCCCAGAACAGAAATAGGGTAGCGCGCAGTGCCCAAAGCGGGCGTGAGATCATCTGAGCTGGGAGAGGAGGGGTCATGTCATCGTCGTACCGGTGCCGCCGAGCTCCTTGATGGCCAGCGAGGGCCTCCCCGAGTCAAGGAGGATGGCGTCCACCTCTTCCGGGCCGAAGCGTCGTGCCTGGGCCACCACCGTGTCGTCCTCCACGTGCAGCACCTGCACCGCACGTGCACGCACATTCGCTGCTGCTGAGAGCGGTACCAGGCGGGGCTGGCATGGGGAGAGGAGGGCACCTGGACGATTCTGACCGAGGGCAGAGCCTGGCGGAGATCGGCGTAGGAGCCGGTGGTGAGAGCGTCCACGAGTTGGAGGGTGTTGGCCTTCAGCCGCTTCTGCTGCTCCACGATGGCCGCCACGTCCTGCTCGGGGGTGAGCAGGAAGGACCACACGTCGGGCGCCTCGGCGTTGAGCCACGCACAGATTTCCGCGATGGTCCCCTCTTCGATGCACCCCGGCCCTGTACGTTACCACAGCAAGAATAAGAGAAAGAATTGCGGGGGGGTGAGGTGGACAGTGGGTGGGGCATGCAGCGCGAACCTGAAGGCATCTTGGCCACCAACCCGAGAGCCGATGCCCCATACCTGCCCCCCCCTCCAAGAATGAGTACAGGCAAACGAGGTATAAACGGGGAGAGAGAGAGATGCATGCCTGATTGCGAGTGCTGCCTCCTCCACTGATTTGATGCAGCACACTTTGAGGATTACGGGCAGTGCACTGTGCGTTGGCGTCCAACTGCGGCTCGTCCTGGCTTCGTTAGCACATCAACGCTCAACCCCCCTGCTGAGCGATTTAATGCGAATAGAAAAGGGAGGCAGGCACCAAGGTGCAGGGGACAGTTGCATGGCGGGGAAGGATGGGCAAGCTGTAGAGGAGAAGATTTGAGTTTGTAGTGGCCAAAACACTACAACCGTAACACTACTGCCAGTGCTACAACTACGCTACGTTTGGGGGGGGGCCTTGTGGCGAGTTCGAAACCGCGCTTGGCGACGCCGCCCGAGGACGAGGGCAGGTACTTCTTCTGCTCCTCGAGCTCCTTCTCCACACCAGATGCCCCCGTGGCACTTGCCCTTGGCCTTTTACCTCGGCCAGGTAGGCCTCGGCCTCCTTCACCTTGCGGCTGGCATCCAGGGCGAAGAGACACGACACGTTCTCAAAGTCGAGCGATTGCATGCTCGGCCGCCTGGCGCTAGGCTACCTCCGCAGCTCTGCACGACTCGAAGGCGGCCTGGCGCTCGGCCTCGGCTCGCGGCCTTCATCACCTGGGGAGGATTCTACCATCCAACAGTCCTGTGGAGGCTGTGACGCGTCACGAAGGTCCAGGTTCCAACAACGTCTCGCCAGTGCACCTTTTTTTCCCTTGGTCGCGCCAGAAGTGTGGTCCAGCAGGGGTGTTTGTTGTGGCGGCAAAACAAACATGGCACACGCGGCCGGGGGTGTGGGAGGGTTCGCAGCCTCCCCTCACAACATGGGCTCAGGACAGGACAACGAGCGGCAAAGGCACACGCCTGCCACTCTCGCCCTTGCCCTGGCCGGCAGGTTCCTGTTCCCCCCCCTGCTGATTGACTGTAATGCCAAGGCCACTCATGCGCTCATCACTCGAACAGTGTCTTCTGCTGGCGGGCCGATCGCGATGTCTGCGTGGCTTAGAGAAACTGAACGACCAGCTCCACCAGGTGTGCCCGCATGGCGCCTGGTGTACGGATCGCCGGGTCGGCTCTTCAAGGTTCAACCCTGCTTCATGTGAGCTAACCGGTTCTTCCCGGTTCTCCATACCGCTGAGCCATAACTCCGTATTCCTGTGCGCACCCCTAGGAAGAGGCTCGTCTAACAGTGGAGCGTGGGCTTGGCCACTTTCTCCTGACCTCGTGCGCCGCCCTCTATCTCCATCTTGTGTGTCTGAACATTAGTGTAGACTGGTGTGGTGTGCAGAGTGGTCGACTTGCTGGAGGCATGCACCTTCGGGCCTGCTTTTGCAGCCAGCATGGTTGCCCACGGTTAGTGTGCCCCCCCCCCCCCTCCTCCCCCTCTTCCTCCTAAATCCTGCACCGGTGAATCACAGTCGGCTCATTCGGGGGGGGGGCAAATGAATGTGGCCTGTGCGTGCAGTCCTCATGACGGCGGCATCAGGCCGACCAATTGAAGATGCACACAAACAGCCCCTCAGCACCTTGAACGCCTTTGCGGGCTACATTGTTGGCTGCGCGGCTGTGTTCCCATTGTCTGTGCTCTCCTTTCAGCTGCACGGTGGTTGCTGGTACGCCCTTCGCTGTTCCTGTATTCCGTGCCAGCCTTGACATGTGTCCACTCCATCTGCAACAGGCGTGGGTGGGCCAGCCTCTGCCCATTCACGGAACTGGGCTATCACCATTGGCAAGCTCTTCCGGCCAAGGTCGTTCAGACCTGGGGGCTGGTCAGCGTTATGTACGTCCTCTTCATTTCATCTCAGCCCCACACCATGCACCTCCTGATCATCCATCCACTCCACCCATAGGCCCCTGATGGAGGCGATTGATGCCTGGCTAGGTTTCAATCAGAAGGATGAAGGCGAGCAAAGCCAGGGGGAAGAGGGGGAGCCGCGACCGAGCATAACTACCTGCGTGACTTGGCACAGGGCGAGTTCAGTGCTTATCAGTGGGCACTGTCCCACACAGGCCAGTTTTTAGCGATTGCTCTGAGCGGTAGGCCTAGCTCCTGTCTGTTGTCTCTGAGATGAGAGGGTCCAGCCTGCATTGACTCGCGTGGTGGTGGTAACAGATTTGATTTAGGTGCCTGCGGCCACTGTCCGAGAATTCCCGCTCTTCCTCTTCCCCACCATCGTCATGTCCTCCTGGTTCTAGCGTTTATAAACCCAAATTGCAGTTGGTTTGTCTCGTTTGACGAGGACTCAAGAGTCAAACTCAACTTCCACATCCCCGGCTTTCACCTCCCACACGCCCATCTTTCTACACAGGTCACACCATCTTCTGCACCTGCGGTGTTGTACCTGGTTGCCTCCAAGCAGAAGGAGAACATCGACATTCAACATCGTCACGGGTGCGCAATCTCAGCAGCCGTGCCATCACTGAGCCTCTCCCTCCGCGTGGACAGGGACGCCTTCCAGTCGGTCGCCGTCGGTACCGGCCAACGGCGAGGTCAAGGCCACACTAGGGGGTGCAGGGCGGCATCACCTGCCTCAACAAGGAAGATCAAATCATTAATTAATTTATCTATAAATAAATGGCACAGGTGCTTGTGGCTCCGGCTCCATCACGCGGCAGCTCAGGCCTTGAGGTAGTGGTCATAGAAGGAGACCAGCTCTTCGTCCTCCACGTCGCGTGAGGCAATGCCACGAAGCAGGTGCTCCAGTGCCGGGGAAGAGGAGCGGCCCAGCTGTGGTCGCAGGGCCTGGTGCTGCTGGTGCTGCGAGTGCTGTTGGGGTTGGGGTTGGTGCCGCTCGAGGTCCTCGCTGGTGAAGGTCGGCAACGGGTACATGTCCTCCATCGACGGCTCGAATGCGTGGGGCACCGACGACGCCGACGACGCCGACGTTGATGCTGGACCGGCACCAGCCGCCAGCTCCGGCGACGACGACGCGGCCGCTGGCGCTTGGTGTCTCTGTCGCTGCTGGTCGTGGCGGGTCTCGTCGGCGCTGGATGTGATGCTCGCGCCGGCGGCTTCGTTGTGGCGGTTGTTGTTGTGTTGCTGGTGGTGCGAGTCCGTGGCAGTGGGCGAGTTGCGGAGGCCTCCGATGGATGCGCCGCCGCTGCTGCCGCTGCTGGTGGCGGTGGAAGGAAGGAGCGGAGTGGCGAAGGCGGCAGAGTCGAGGGAGGGGAGGAGGAGGTGCGGCGGAGGCGACGGTGGCGAGGGGGGATTGGAGGAGCCAATATGGCTGCTCCCCGACGGCGACGTGGGGCTCGAGTTGGCGCTGGCGTGGGACGCGTGGCCGCGCAGCATCGCCTGGAATCGGTGGCCGGCGTGCGGGTGCGGGTTGGCGCCCGACGACGAGGCGTGCCCGCGAGGCGACGGAAGGAGAGGGGCCGAGCTCCGCTGCTGCAGGTGCTGGTGGTAGTAGTACGGGTGCGGCTGCTGCTGGTGGTGGTGCTGGTAGTGATGATGATCGCGGTCGTGCTCGTGGTCGTGCTCGTGGGCAGGGTGGCCAAGCGGGAGGGATGGAGAGCGGAGGTGCGCGGCAGGGTGGCCGTAGTGGGAGGAGTGGTGCGCCGGATATTCGTGGCGATACGGGTGTGGGTGGTCACCCACGTCTGGAGAGAGATGCGGCTGGTGCTGGTGCTGCTGCCGCTGCTGATGGTGGTGGCGCTCTTCCAAATCGTAGGGATGGGGGCTCGCACGAGAGCGGGCGTGGGCGACGGCGACGTGCTGGTGGCGGTGCTGGGCCTGACACGCGGGAGCAGTGGGTGGCGCGTGGGAGCCCCGCATCATCGAAATCGACATGGGCGGCGGCGGCGACGGCGCGGAGTGGTCGAGGGTCCACGGAGCGGAGAGCTCGTCTCCAGTGGGGCTGCGCACATCGCGCGCGTGGGAAGAAGGCGGCGCGCGGTGGTGGTACGCGTGCGTAGGTGCCTCCGCCGCAAAGTGTTGTGGGGGTTGGTGGTGGGAGTAGTGCTGGACGTGAGGGTGCGGGGGCGGCGGATGATGGTGGTGGTGATGGTGCGACAGCGAGGAGGGAGGAGGGGGATAGCCGTGTGCGCTCTGGGCGAACGGGTGAGGGAACATGGCCTGTCGACGGCGCGGCGAGAACGTTCCGGGCGGGTGGTCGAGAGAAGGCGAGTCGGGGTCGGCGTGTTCGAGCCTCTCCCGCTTGAGCGAGTACTGACACAGGGCCAGCTCCTCCGCAGTGAACGCGCCTCCCGCAATGACGGCCCCTCCACCCGGTGTGCCATACTCGGGATAGGGTGAGGCGCCTGGTGGTGGTGGTGGTGGTGGTGGTGGTGGTGGTGGTGGTGGTGGTGGTGGTGGTGGTGGTGGTGGTGGTGGTGGTGGTGGTGGTGGTGGTGGTGGTGGTGGTGGTGGTGTGGTGGTGGTGGTGGTGGTGGTGGTGGTGGTGGTGGTGGTGGTGGTGGTGGTGGTGGTGGTGGTGGTGGTGGTGGTGGTGGTGGTGGTGGTGGTGGTGGTGGTGGTGGTGGTGGTGGTGGTGGTGGTGGTGGTGGGGTGGTGAGCAAGTGCTAAGAGTGTGATCGTTTCTTTCTGGCGTTAGGAACCTAAAAATAAAAATAGAAAAAGAATATAGGTACCGGCCAAGCCATCAACGCCGATTTTGGCTCGCTTCAGGCAGGTGTAATGCTGTACTGCACTTCCTCGCGGACCCTTCCTGTGAGTGGTTGGGCGAGGTGAGCGTCACCAATCAAATTGGTCGTGTCTACGGTAACTGGGCATCATTCTCTGATGGTCGTGCCAAAAAAGGCGTTACGCGGCACTGGCCAATCAAATAAATGGACCCGCGGGTGCGCACCGGTTGTACTTGATGCCAGGAAAAGCACGCTTCACCAGCTTCCTGTGAGACGCACACCGACGACAATGCACGCGTGAGCTCTGGGTGGCCTCGAAATCGGAGGCGATGGTCCTCCCGAGCAAGCCGTACCCGAAGTAAGTCGCTGAAATGACGGGCTCGATGCCCTTTTCCTGGCACGAGTCGAAGTAGTGTTGGTAGACGCTGTTCTTGCTTACCGACCCGTTCTTGCCCACCTTGTAGTTCTCGCGCAGCCTGCGGGTGCAACGTGGCGGTGAGAGCGGCACACCAGGGGCAACCGAACAGTACACCAAGTCGGGGTTAGGTGAAGAGGAAGGCAACCGCGGTTCGCTATTCTAGGTGGCATTTTTTGTGGCGTGGTTATTTTTGGCGCACAGAATTTCGGGTGTGGTGCCAACAGAGCGCCGAAGAAGGCGGAGGTTGATGGCATCGATGCCGGGCAAGGGTCCCAAGAGCATCTAGATTGTGTGGCGGACCGACAGTCACGAGGCGGGGGGGGGCAAAAGATATAGTCGTACCACAAGATGACGTCGAGTGAAGCAAGCTTTCGCTGTACCTCCATAGGAACGAACAGTGTCGGAGTGAAGGTCGGAAGGTGTCGAACGGGGGGGGGGCTGTGCGCTAGTGCGCAGAGGCGTGACTTCCGTGCAGGGGGCGTTGGATGAACTGCTGAGCACCGCGCGAATGTGTGCGGGGTCTTGCGAGACGCCGCGGTATTTTAAAGATCGGGTGATTATCTAGACCGCTTCAAGGTCCGTTCCGTACGGACATACCGCTCGACCAACCGCAGCGATTGGGAGTTGGCCACGTGCGCAGAAACAGCACCCGAAGAGGTCGGTGCGGCCCCTCCTTGAAACTCCAGAGAACGCTACCGCGTTGTTCGGGATAGGGCCGCTACCTAAAGTGAGGTTGTTGCTTTCCAACTAGCTCCACCAGTCGGGTAGGTGGCAATACACTCGGGATCCAACCCTATATTACCCTGCGATAAAACTCCTGTCGGTTGCCGAGTAGCGCTCAGGTATGCGAGAAATGTTAATTGTGTAGGAATGTGGAGCATCGCCATCGCTCACAGCGCAGCATTCGTGCAGCTAGATAGGGGCACACGTAACGCTGACCACAGAATGAGCCAAAGGCGGCCGCCAAGTGGCGGGCGACCAGCTCGATCTTAGCCCAAGAGTTTGCTGGTGCTTTCTGCTCAAAAGTCGCCACGTGGCTCAGGACTGAACCAATGGTTGCGTGCTAGAGCTCTGCCCAATCGCCGAGAAAGAAGCCACGAGGGAGATAAAATCTCAATTAGCCATAACGGCTAATCTCATCCTTTTTATGGGTTTTGTTTTGTGGAAGCACGGGTGGGTGGCCAGACGTCGCGTGTGGGTGCTTCTCGGGGGAGTTAATTCAAGTTTTCCAGCCCACCCACCGCCCCCCACCCCTGCCGCTGCGTACACCCAGCGGACTGTGCTGCCCCCGTTACCTTACGCCTAAAGCCTCTCACCCTCCCCAGCACGCCAGCAGTACAACCACCCCAACCACCTCAGCTCAGTCCGCTCCGCTCAAAGTCCTCCCCCTCACACTGCGGTTGCTCCTCTGCCCGACCAGACAGCTTCAGCTCCGCGTATTAGACGATACACGTTGTTTGTGTGCCGGGGCGCACACTGCCGGCCATGGACGTCATACAAAAAAAGCTGACGGCCCTCGATATCATCTTTTGGTACCCTCTATACCTTCGGGCGCCTCCTCCTTGCAACCGCACTTCTGCCGAGGGGGCGTGGGCACCTCGGGGGGAGTTGCGGAGGAGCTCCCTGCACTAACGCACTCTCGCCTCTCTCTCTCTCTCTCACCTCTTCTTCTTGCTTGCTCTCCTTTCACTCTCGCGCTCTCTGCTTGTCCTGTCGTCCCGTGCGCTCCTCCGGTCTCGCTGCCTTCTCTCTTTTTGCTCTCTGGGTCAACCAAGGTTGCGAGAAAACTACAAGATGGGCAAGAGCGGCTCAACGTCCAAGAACGCCGTCTACCAGCACTACCTGGACATGTGCCAGGAGAAGGGCATCGAGCCCTCCATATCGGCGACCTACTTCGGGTATGGCAAGCTCGAGCCCGAGCTGTGATCATTTCGCTCCCTCACCCAACCTCATTCAAGAAGGGGGCACCCCCTCCTTAGTGTGTCGTTGCGTGCTTGCCCTTGGGTCTGTTGCCAATATTCGTATCTGTACTACATCCCAATAGGAAGCTCGTCAAGCGTGCCTTCCCCGACGTCAAGTACAACAGGTGCGCACCTCTTCCCTTTTTGCACCTTGACATTCTCCACTCTCCGCCATTGGCCGCCAAACCACGCCAAGTGGCATTGTTCGTCGCACACCACCACCACGTCTAAAGGGCGGAAGGAGAAAAATCAAAAAAAAAAAGACCAAAAAACAAAACAAAGGTCAAAAAGAAAGAAAAGAAGGCTGGAAGAGGAATGTGGTGTCTTACAAGGGGGGTTGGACCAACGGGGGCGTGGCTATTAGGAAGGGTCCACGCGGAGGCACCAAGCAGCACTACACCCACCTGAAGCGGATCGATCCGAGCAAGAAGAGCGTCGATCGGCAGCTGCAGCAGGTGCCCACCGAGCTGCAGCAGGAGTACAACTACTACCACTCGATCAACCTGGAGAAGGAGAAGGAGGAGATGGGTCCGCGCATGTTCGGCATGTTCAAGATGAACCGCGAGGGCGCCTACGTGCCCTCCCTCTCGGCCATGTACGCCTCGGCCCTCGAGGTCGAGCGCGAGGAGGAGCTCAATCAGCGCGGCCGCCCATCCGGCGCCGATCTTCCACCTCCACCAGGAGCCCGCGCTGCTGCCTACGGCGGCCACGACGACCCGGACGTCAACTTCCTGGCCTGCCTCAAGCCGCTGGCCCACCCCTCCTCCTCCTCGTCGCCGTTGCCCTCTTCGCGCGCCTCGCCACCACTCCCGTCCTCGTCATCGTCGGCCACGATCGCACCCTCCTTCTTCCCACGCCTCCTGGGCGGCCCGCCGCAGCCCACGTCGCCCTCGTCGTCGTCGGCCTACGCCGCCCAGGCCGGCGGCTATCCGCCGCCCTACTATTCGGGCATGGCCCCGCCCCTGCCCCCCAACCTGAGCTCAGCCGGCGGCCTCCCCTTCGACCGCGACCCATCGGCGCCGTGGGACGCGGGACCCGCCCACCACCACCACCACCGGGGCCTCCCCTCGCCCTACGCGCACCACCCCCACCAGCCGCCGCCGCCGCCACAGCAGCAGCATCCTCTCTACTACCTCGCAGCCGGCGCCACAGCTGGCGGCTCGGGCCACCTTCCCACCTCCTCTTCTCCGACATCCTCTCCCCGCGGCAGCTACCACCAGCAGCACCCGCAATCCCACCACCACCACCTTCACCACCACCACCCGCATCAGCATCAGCATCAGCAGCAGTCGCCGCTGCTGCACGGTTCGGTGGACATTCCCTACACATCGCTTCCTCCTCTGCTGGCGCCGCCGCCGCCACCCCACGCCTTCGCCAACAACGCAGGCAGCACGCACCTGTACAGATCGTCTGCCGGCGGGCATCCCGGCGGCCTCCCCTCCGATGCCGACGAGCGGCGGGAACAGACGGCGCAGCAGCGCGAGGACAGCAACTACTCCCCGCCCGCCCTCCGGCACGCCCCCTGACGAGACCCACGAGACCCTTCGGCCCCATTCACCACCACCTCCTCCTCCACCTCGTGTCCCCTCCGACAGTGTTCCCCCCTGCCAGCCCACCTCCCCCAATTTTGTCGCCCCCCCCCCCGCTGGTGGGAGAACACGCGGTCAACCGAACCACCCACTTCTCTCCTCGTCTTCTTCTTCGTTTCCCTCTCTACACAATGAATAAAGAAAAGGAAGAGTTTCTTTCTCTGCCCCCCCAGCGTACCAAGGCTTTTTCGGATTCATTTAATTAAATATCGCAATTTATTGGGGCACAGAAAAAAGAAACCTTGCTCTTGGCCGCATCTCGCCCTTGGACAACTTCGCGACAAGCATAGAATGGAGGTGCGTGCAGCCAGACCTCCCCCCCCCCCTACCCCATCGCCTGGCATTGCCGGGTTTCATTTTTTTTTAAATATATTTTTCTATATTTTCCTGACAATGCGTGGGGGCGGGGAGCCGCAGGCTGGTCCTTGTGTTGTGTGCGAGTGCCGGGAGTTCCTCAAGAACCCGTTCAAGCCCCGCTACTGCCGCAACTGCCAGCACGACCACGCCCCGCCTGCACCTGCTGGCGGCGGCGGGAACTCGTCGCCTCGGGTGCCTTCCACCGCGAGCGGGGGCTCGCCCGTGCCGACCCACTCCCACGGGACCCATCCGCCCCTCCCCCGCCCCCCTGGCCAGCCTCCGACCCCCTCCGTACACACACCGCACCCCTCTTCCGATGCTGCTGCTGCTGCTGCTAACCGCGGCCTACCCGCCTGTTTCTCTCCTCTCTCTCTCTCTCTCTCTCTTCTCCCATCCGCATGGCAATGGACTGTCACGCGTTTAGCGCTCCCCGCGCATGGCCCCTGGTGGTGGTGGTGGTGCGTGCCTGCGTGCCTGCGTGCCTGCCTGCGTGCCTGCCTGCCTGCCTGCCGCAGACTCCTCCTCATCTCCACTTGCCGCGGAGGACCACACTCGGGCGCGCACGCACGCATGCACGCGGGCAATGTACTCACCTCGTGGTGTTCCCTCCTCCTCCTCCTCCTCCTCCTTCCCTTTTCCGCCCGCGCTCGTCGTGCTCGTCGTGTAGCAGATCGCAGCAATAATGCCGGCATCAGCCCCCACAACGTCGTCGTTGGAAACGGACCCGGCGGCAGCGGCGGGCTGACCGGGTCGGGCATCCTTTCCGCCCACAGCCGGCCCGTGCCTCCCGGCCCCAAGGTGCTGCCCCGCCTCGTTTCGCCTTGGCACCACCGCGTTGTGGGCGCACACTAAACAACCCGGGCCTTTGGCTGTTGGCTGTTGGCGGTGTTCCCATCATCATCATCATCGTCGTCATCTTCATCACTGGCCAGATGGGATCGCCGCCCAAGTCGCCGAGCACGTTGGGCTCCGGTTCCTTACCCACCAGACCTCTCCGGCCTCCGTCGTCGTCGTCACCATCAAGCAGCGGCGGTAAGTACTGCTGCGATGCGCGCCCTGCCACACCCGCATTACATGCACACGCACCACCGCACACGCAAATAGGCATAGAGACTAGACACAGGGATTCATCATCATCATCATCATCATCCATTGAGAAATCTCGCCTGGCCCTGGCACGCTAACGGGTGTTGCTTTCGTTCCGTCGCAGCGGCCGAAGTGCCGACGATGCAGGTCCTGAACACGCACGACACGCCTGCCATCCGCATGGCCAGTGCGTCCTCCTCCCTCATCGCAGCCCCTCTCCCCTCCCGTCTTGGGGTTTAGCCCTCTTCTCAACGCGCGCGGGCGTCATCGCTTCTTGTGTGCGGCGGTGCACAGCGGCGGCTCCACGCCCCGACATGTCGCGGAGGGACCACATCGCCCACGAAATCCTGGAGTCGGAGCGGTACTACGTGCGCAACCTGGGCGTCATTGTCGACGTACGTCCCAGTCCCCTCGGCATCCACCAGCCACCACCACCAGCCACCAGCCACCCCTCCACCCATGGATGGATCGCACGGCGGATCGCGAGTCCTGACCTCTCTCTCTCTCTCTCTCGCTCTCTTCTTCTCTCATACAGACCTTCCTTCGACCGCTATTGGAGGGCAAGAGAAGGTCGACGAGTCCGACCACGAGAGCGCGCCGCCACCCGAAGCCGATGCGGCAGCGACCGGCGGCAAAAATACGAATAATAAGCTGCAAAGTGCGCCCCGCCCCGCCCCTCCCATCCAGAGCCCATGGAGGAGACGAGCAGAGGGGAGAGAAGAGAGAAGAGAAGAGAAGAGAGAGAGAGAGAGAGAGAGAGCGGCGGGCGGTCGGCCCAACGCGACTGACGGGGCACACGGGCGGCACAGGCATGCGCATGATGCCCCGGCGCAAGGATTCGACGAGCAGATCGGAGGGGGTCATCACCGAGGGGGAGATCAACGTCATCTTCTCCAACATCGTCGAGATTCTCAACCTCAACCAGATCCTCCTCCAGGTACGTACCCCGCCCTGGTCCCGCCATTTCCCCTTTCCACTGCTCTTCTCTCTCTCTCTCTCTCTCTCTCTCCCTCCCTTTAACGGGGGGGGGGTGCTCACCGGCTTCCCCCGACATCGTGCAACCCGCGTGGGCGCAGGACCTGGAGGAACGAATGAAAACGTGGAACGACAAGACCACCCTCATCGGCGACGTGCTGTGCAAATTCGTACCGCCGCCGCCCGCCCCGCCCCGCCCCGCCCCGCCCCGCCCCGCTACCTCCACCTCACCGGGGGGGGGGCGTTATTTTGCTGATCTCCTTATTCTCCCTTGCCTCTGTTCCCCCCTGCATGCGTGACGCTAGGTGCCCTACCTGAAGTCCTACATCGTCTACGCCCGCATGAATGAGAAGGCTCAAGGTGGGACGCACGCACACGCACACGCACGACACACACACACACACACACTCCATCCGTCTCTTCCTCTCCTCATTTGCTTGCAAGCGTTTTTCATTGTCTTCTCCCTCTCCCTCTCCCCCCCTCCCATCCTCTTGTGTCGTGTCGTGTCGTGTCGTGTCGTGTCCGCCAGAGCTGCTCATGACTGTGGAGACCAAGCCGGCCTACTGCGAGTTTGTAAAGAGCTGGGAGAAGCTCTCTGATGTGCGTACCCCTTCCCCCTCCCCATCCCGGCGGCGGCGGCGGCGGCAGCTGCTGCTGGGTGGCGGCTGGTGGTGTTTGGAAGTGTGGGAGTTCGAGTCGCGGGGGTCGGATGATGATGATGATGATGATGATGATGATGATGATGACGTGTTGGTGCCGTGGTTGTGCAGGTGCAGCAGGGAGGCGGGTTGCGTGCGTATCTCATCCTCCCGATCCAGCGGATTCCCCGCTACGAGCTGTTCATCAAGGTGCACCTTGGACCTCCTCCTCCTCCCCCCTCCTCCGGTGCTGGGTGGTACACACCGACGGAGAGGGAGAGAGAGAGAGAGGGAGAGAGGGAGAGAGGGCAGGGCAGGGCACTCATGCATGTTGCGTGCTGCGTGGTGGTGGCTGGTGGCTGGTGGCTGGTGGGTGGTGCATGCCGGCCAATCGGCGTTGCACAGGATCTGGTGAAGAGCACGGACCCCTCCCATCCCGATTACAACAACTTGAGCAAGGCCTACGACGGCACGTTCACCTCTCGACCCCCTTTCGCCCTCTACCTTTTGCTTCTTTCTGCTGCTGCTGCTGGAGTGTGGGGAGCTGAGTTTGGGTTGGGGGGTCGGCCGTGGTTGTGGTGACCTCCGCTCCGCAGAGGTGAAGGAGGTCAACCACAAGATCAACGAATCCATCAGGGAAGCCGAGAACCGCCTCAAGCTGCTCGAGATCTCCCGCTCCTTCATGGACAACCCCGTGTGGGGACCCACCGTGCCCACCGTACGCCTTCCTCCTCCTCCTCCTCCCTTACCAACGCCATCCCCACACGACCGCATAACCACGGATCCAAAACAGCGCCACATCACCCGTCATCGTTGTTGTTGGTTGTTGTTGGTTGTTGTTCTCACTCATGGTGCGATTGATCACTGGGGGGCGGTGGCGCGTGGGGCGGACGGATGGGCGGATGGGCGGTGATGCCAACCAAACCACGACGACGACGACCAGCTGGTGGAGCCCCACCGGGTGTTTGTGAAGGAGGGCGCCCTTACCAAGATCTGCCGCAGGTACGTCCATCGCCTGCTCGCCTGCTCGCCCTCCCTCCACTCTGGCTCGGGTGAGTTGGCGGTGGGTCGTGGGTCGTGTGGGCTCACATCACCTGCGCTGTCGACTGGGTAACAGCAAGCACGTGCTGCGGTGGGTGGTGCTGTTCAACGACATTCTGCTCTACGCCTCTGACTTTTCTATCGGTACGACCCCCCCCCCGCACGCACGCGCGCGCCCCATTCTGCCCGAAGATAGGAGGCCCCCCCGGGGGTCGCGCGGCGACAAGTAGTACACTTGTCCTGCATCGCCGACGGATTGAGGGTTGCGGTTGCGGTTGCGGTTGCGGCGTGGCGCTGTGCGCTCACCCCCTCCCCCCAATGATGGTGGTGCGTGGCCGCGGGGGGGGGTGGTGGTAATATAGGCCTCACGAGGAAGCTCCAGTTCCACAAAATGTTCCACCTTGAATCGCTCCGGGTGGACGACGTTCCCGACAAAGGTAACAACCGCGACTACCCCTCCTACCCCTTCCGCTGCTGCTGCTGCTGCTGCTGCTGCGGTTTCACGCATTCGCCTCCTTTGGTGTTGGGTATCCGTGGGATGGGAGACACCCGATGCGTGCGCGTGGGTCAGTGGCGACTACGGCGTTGGCGGCTGATTGATTAATCGGTGGGTGGGTGGGTGGGTGGGTGGGTGGGTGGGTGGACTCCGGGTCTGCAGAGACGGCGCACAAGTCGCTCAAGAACGCGTTCCAGATCGTGTCGCCCAACAAGTCGTTTGTGCTCTACGCGGCTTCCCCCGAACTCAAGGAGGTACCACGCACGCCTGCTCCTCGACCCAACGCGTTGCGGTGATCATCGCGCGTGCGCTCATGCGGGGGTGCCCCTCTGCGGTGCATGGTGCTTCTGGTGGCAGGAGTGGGTCAGCACCCTCAGGAATGCGATCAAGGCATGGCAGACAAAGCGTGCCACCCTCGCCACCAGCAAAAACGACGCCGCCTACGCCATCACCGAGGCACCCGTCTGGATTCCCGACGACGAGGTACGCGTGCGCTCTGCTCCTTGCGGCGAAGGCACGCCGACCACATGTGGTTGTGTGTTGTGTGTGTGTGTGTGTGTGTTGCGCGCGCCTCGAGGCGCAAACGACACATGGCTTCTCCCCAACGCAACGCGCTGTCGTCGTCAGGTGGCGTCGTGCATGCTTTGTGCCTCCGGCTTCACGCTCACCAAGCGAAGACATCACTGCCGATCCTGCGGCAAGGTCATCTGCGGCGATTGCTCGCGGAAGAAGCTCCTTCTCCTCAATGTAGATAAGAGGTGAGGGTTCCTCCCTCCCCCTCTCCCCGCCGCCGCCGTGTTTAGCTTCTTGCCTGATGGATATACGCATGTAAACCGCGCAACGTGCAGTCCGGTGCGTGTGTGCGACTATTGCTACAATAGCCTCGCCGGCCCCAGGGAAGAGAAGAAGGATGCGGAGGGTGCCTCCAGGCCAGCTGCGACAACGACAGCGACAACGACGACGCCCGATCAGAAGACCTCGCCCAGAGGCGTACGTAGTCCGCTCTCTAGCAACTTCTCCCTGCGACGTGCGCGCGCGCGGGGAACGAGTTGACCGTCACTCACTCGGTACGTTGCGCAATCCAGCAGGTGGAGTATCTGGCCCTCTACGACTTCAAAGCCGAAAGCGAAAGAGAGGTATGACGCAAAGCGCCGCTCCTCCTACTGGTGGGAGTCTCACCTTTCCTTTTCTTCTTATTACTACGACTGTCAATGACAGTTGAGCTTGAAGGTGGGCGAGCGCCTCTGGGTCGTGGAAGAAGAGATGGATGGCTGGTTCGAGGCCAAGGCCTTTGATGGCAGGTACACGGCCTTCTTCGTCTCGCGTGCGTATGTGTGTGTGCATGTGCGTGTGCGTCACAGCGCAGGCATCCATCTGCCAATCACCTCGAAACACAGCCACCTCACCCTCCTAACCGGTGACAGAATTGGGTTCGTACCTTCCACGTATGTGCGCAAGGTTTGACAAGGGGCGCCGCCGGCCGGGTGCACCCAGCAGGGCCAGTTCTGTCCTTTCCCCTTCTCCCCCCCCCACCACCGCTGTGCACCCCCCTCTCACCACGTGTACCGAGGAGGAGGAAGAATTTTGCCATTTCCAGACCAGGAAGTAGGATAATGTAGAACAGGAAGATTCACCCTGTGGACAGTCAACTTCCTGCACTTGCATGTGGTTTTGTGATCTAGTCATGTTCAGGGAGAGAAGTGGCACATGGTGGAGACGAGGCTGCAGGGGAGAAGGAGGAGGGCAGGCCAGAGGCAAGAGGCAAAAGAGGTAGGTAGGGGCCATCTTCAACACCAGGCGGCTCTTGCTCAGTGGATCAGGTACAAGCTCCAGGAAGCCAGGTATGGAGTGGCCCAACCAAGGGGGCTGGGGTTCCCTAATGATTGGTTCCTGATGATACAACAGTTTCCACACTTGCAGTTGCTGCCAGTGGGGGCTTGCTGGCAGTGGAAACAGTGGCTATCACAGGCCCTCCTCCTCCTCCCCCTCACCAACAACCAAGTTGTCCCTGCCCCCCATCAACAGCTTGAGAATTGTAGCCCCACTGATTGCACTCCACACCCACACTTTGGGCAAAGAAAATCAAAAAAACAGTATCCCACAATTCCTAGTACCCAATGCTACAACTGTGGAAGAATGCAACTGTGACAGTTTTTGGTTTTGTCAACAACCAGAGTTTGAGTGAGGGGTAAAACCCCAGACAGCTTTTTTAAATAGAGGCCTTTTCCCTCTTGTTTGATGCATAGCTCATCTCACAGTGACATGAACCTACAACCAGCTCAGGCTCATCACATATGGCAATGATGGACATCTCTTCAGGATCAGTTATGGGTTCAAGCAGGGGGGGGAGGATTGGTGGAGGAAGGTTTTCAGTTGGAGATGAGGGTGGTGATGGTGAAGATGGTGTCATCTATCCTTGGTCTGCAACAAGAGATCACACCCCTGAAGGGCAGTAAGGGATCAAGTGCTTTTGGAAGGGGAAGGTTGCAGATGATCCAGATGCATCTGCCTGGAATCAATGTACACTGATTGTGCAGCCATCTGCAGTGCTTGAGGGGGCTGCCACCTGGCTGCACACCACTGGCAAAGATGTGATGTTCAAGTTCAACCAGTTCAAAGCAGAGCTTGTAAAGAGTTTCACACCATCATCCCAGGTCAAACTCCTGAACAAGTAGAGTTGGCCTTACACATGTGGCAGTGATCCATGACAGTAATTTGTTGGCCTGCCTAAGGAGCTGAATGGCCTTGACCTCCTTTCCTGTGGCTCCTTGAGGCAGGTGTAGCTTCTCAACAACAATGATGCCACTGTTGTTATGGATGGTGTGAGAGGCCCTCTTGCAAGTGTTGTGATCAACCTTATCTGTTTCTCCTTCTGTGTCTCCTTCACCTGTGCTTGTGCCCTCACCTTATCTGTTTCTCCCCCCTCCACTCTGCAAAGTGTGGCATGTGCAGCTCTTTTGGTGTCTGAGCATGACTCTCTGTCCACACTTTTGTGCTACCTACCACGGGTGGCAGTGGCGTTCATGAGTTGGTTATGTATTTATGCATTGGTGGTACTGGTGGGGCGGGCCTTAACCCAGATCCGTGAGGTCTCCTTTTGCCGCCACGTGCCCTGTTGCCCCAACGGCTGGAGCTGGCTCTGAAAAACCCGGCGTAGGCGCACGAAAGCTGGCGTCCGATTGACCTGGCGAACTCACGCCCACAGCTCATGTAGCCCTGGGGCTTGCCAGGATACAGGCAACAACCAATGGCGTGCGGTCTGCGAACTGGCACTCCGCGTCGCACTTTGGGCAGCTGCCCCGCAGGAACGAAGGTTGTTGTCCCCCTCCCCAACGAACGACTACCCTCATAATAGGCGGCTTCGTTCTTCTTCGTTCTTTCGTACCAGCACACGACCCCACCAGCACCCGCCCAAGGGGCTACAGCTGTTCACCCCTCCTTCACCCGAGCCTCCTCCCCACGCCTACAACTCCACGACGAACCACCACCCAAGGACACTTTTTTTACCACCACCCACGCGCCACAACTTCAGCCTGACCTACCCAACAAACGCACCCCCGAGCAAGCGAGCAAGCAAGCAAGCAAGCACCTGCTTTCTTCTCTTATCTTCGTCTCTTCTCCCCGGTTGGCCGCACCGTCTTATAAAGCGCGGAGGAGAGTAGAGCGACGACGACGATGCTCGGGATGGCGGCCGCCGGTTCCGACCTGGAGGACACCAACTACCGCGAGGGCGACCTGAGCCGTCGATGCAACACCTCCCTCGTCGTTGCCTGGTGGGTCCTCCTCCCCAGCCCTCAAGTGGCCACTTCCCCTTTCCACCGCCGATGTTGGCTCACCCTCGCCTGTGTGCCGTGTGTGTGCGGCAGGCTGCGGGACAACTACCGGTTCGGCAAGAGTGGGTCGATCAGCAAGAACAGCGTCTACCGGCACTACCTGGACGAGTGCCGCGGGCGAGGCCTCGAGACTGACATCAACCAGACCTACTTTGGCAAGCTCGTCAAGAAGGCATCCAGTACAACAGGTACGGCCCCTCTCACACGCACCACCTCCAATGGCCGGGCGTTGTTCGTCGTACGAGATCCCATACACGTGCATGGGATATAACCCCCTGTTGTTGTTGCACCACCGGTGGCAAATTATGGAGAGCTCATGAGTTGTCCCCTGTGCGCAAGGTCACACGGCAACGCCTTGGTCCTCCCGTGGCCCCGTTCTTATTCCCACATGCCACGCATTTCCCCGCCCACAGGAAGGGACCGCGGGGCCGTTCGGAGCACCACTACAAGCGCCTCAAGCGGGTCAAGCACGCAGCCGCCGCCCTTCCGCTGCTCTTCGAACCGTCCCCGCCCACCCACGCTGCAACCACCACCACGCCGCCTCCTCTCTATCACCACCACCGCCATGAGCTGCCGCCGCCGCCGCCACGGCATTACCACCACCACCACCACCACCACCACCACCAACAGGCGACACCAACCTTCCACGCGCCGCGCCACCAGCACGCCGCCGCCGTAGCAGCAGCCGACGCTGTTGGGGGCAGCCTCCTCCATGCCGCGGGCACCCTGCTGACGCCGGCGTGGCCACCGGGGGATATGGAGGCCATCGGACGCACCTCCAGCCGGTCCCCCTCCCCGCCCTCCTCGCCCCCCTCCTCCGCTCACCACCACGTCCCGCAGCACCACCAGCACCACCAGCACCACCAGCACCAGCACCAGCAGCAGCTCCGCCACGTTCCCCTCGGGGCGAGCTTCCCTCTGCCACTCCCCACCGCCACAGCGGCCCAGCAGTACACACACCAGCAGCAGCAGCAGCAGCAGCAGGAGTCGTACGTGGGGGTGATGGCCGAGGCCGCCGCACCTGCGGGGTGCCGGTGCTGCGCCAACTCGAACAGCAGCCGCGGGGAGGCCGTTTCCTTCGGGGTGGTCCCTCCTTCGTCTTCGCCACGTTCGGTGGTGGCGGCGGTGCCGCCACACCGCGCCTGTTCCCCGACGATGTCGACGTGGTGGGCCTCGGTAGACCAGCGCCATCAGCATCAGCACCAGCACCACCATCGCCACCAGCACCAGGTCGACGACGACGACGACGAGGTGGAGGTGTCGCCCTTCCAGCCGCCGCGGCCCTTGGCGTGGAGCGGGTGGAACTTGGCCCACTCCGAGCCCACCGCCCACCACAGCGCCAGCACCATCAACGAGCTCCCGTACAGCTGCTGGTAGTAGTGGTAGTAGTGGCCAGCCAATAGTAAATACACACAGAAGATAATCATCTTTTTCTTACACCAAGCACACACGCTCCGGTGGCAGCAACCCGCGTGCTCCGGCGCGACCAAGGCGGCACACGAACTCCATAATGGGGCCACGTGGGGGACTCCGGTATTGCGGGGTCGACACTGGCGACCAACGGCACTCGGGCGTGCTAAACGACACCTATTGACGAAGGGCGACGGTGGAAGCAACAACGAGCGCTGCAGCGACACAGCGCAGCGAAGCAACGCCCCGGACGACTCCGAGCGAATGGTGCCGGCTGGTTGGTTGTAGCCGACGCCCACACGAGGTCCGCGTTCTGACTCTGCCCGGCCTCCTCCTCCTCCTTCTGCATTTCGTCGGCTGTCGTACCTACGTACTACTACTACTACGCCGCTGTCGTGCTCGGACCGAGGTCGCCAGCTTCGACTCCACACCCTCTACACAGCCGCCGCCGCCGCCGCCACCACCAATCGCGATAAAGAAGAAGAAGCCCTTCCTATGGCGTCGACGGACCACCTCCAGCGCAAGAAGCACATGCTGCAAGTGGTGGCCTGGTACAAACCACGCTATACTTCCCCCCCCCCCGACCAACCGCCACTATCCGTCGGCCCTGCTGCTGCTGCTCGCCCCCCCTGCCTCTGTCCGGGTATGTCGACAACAAAATGCTAACTCCACCGTGCGGGGGGGGGTTGGCGCCACAAAGGTTGCGGGAGAACTACAAGGTGGGCAAGAGCGGCTCCACCTCCAAGAACGCCGTCTACCAGCACTACTCCGACATGTGCTCGGAGCGGGGCATCGAGCCCTCCATCAACGCCACCTACTTCGGGTACCACTGGCGATACACCACGCACCGCACCGCACCGCACCGCACCACGCCTACTCGCAACGCGCCACAGCTGCGGAGGTGGGAGAGGGCTGACCGAGTTGTCTCGATGTGTTGTGTGTTGCTGGCTTCCATGCCCACCCGTTTATATTCCCTTTCCCTTTCCACGGCAAATGTTGTTACCATGTGCGTGCGTGCGTGCGTGCCTCCTTGTTGTTGTGTGTGTGCCGCGGCGTGCAGTAAGCTGGTGAAGCGTGCCTTTCCCGGCGTGCAGTACAACCGCAAGGGACCCCGGGGCAACTCGCTCCAGCACTACACCCACCTGAAGCGCATCAACCACGACAAGCTCAAGCAGCAGCGCCTGGTCGAGGTACCTACCTACCTACCTATCTGCTGCACCCGCACCCACACAGCTGGAGGCCCGCCGGATACGTCTGGGGAGCCCCGCCCAACATCTCGCTCGCTCGCTGACTGGGTCGTGTGGCGTGTGGCGTGTGGCGTGTGGCGTGTGGCGTGTGGCGTGTGGCGTGTGGCGTGTGGCGTGTGGCGTGTGGCGTGTGGCGTGTGGCGTGTGGCGTGTGGCGTGTGGCGTGGTGTGCAGGAGGCGAGCCGCGCGGTGGAGAACTGCGGGGTGCCGGAGGAGGAGGCCCTCTACCGGCTCATGCGGGAGAAGTACGCCGAAATGTTTGCGCCTCTCGCCGCCGGACTCGACGTTGCGCGCGCGCCACACCACTACGCCGCCGCTCCGCTCCACCCCGTGGCGGCCGCGGCGGCCCTGCTGGCGGCTGACGGCGGCGGGCATCCGTCCTCCTCCTCCTCCTACGCTCGGCCAACGCGCACGGGCCTCCTCTCCCCCGGAGATGCCGCCCTCCACGGGGACCCACGCTTCCGGGCGGCGGCGACCTCCTCGCTCCACTCCGGGGCCAGCGACCCGGACGGCGCGACCGGATCCGAATCGCCGGCGAGCGGCTCGCCGAGCCTGCCCCCACCGTCGTCGTCGTCTTCGTCATCGGCTGCCGGCGCGCTGGGCTCTCGCTTCCTCTCCTCCTCGCTCTCCATGTCCACGGGTGCTTCGCCACCAGCGGGCTCCTCCTACGCTCACCTGGCACACCCGTCGGCCCACCACCACCACCAAGCGGGCAAGGCCGCCACCGCGGGTTTCCCCTCGAGCTCGGCCCACTATGTCGTCAGCTCGTCCCCACCTTCGTCGCCGGGCAGCGGCCACCACCACCACCCGGGTGGTGGTGGTGGTGCCTACGCGCCGCCAGGCCATGGCCACGGCGCATTCGGGCCGGCGGCCTTTGCCTACCCGCCAACGTGCCCCTATTGCCACCACTGCCTCCACTGCTACTATAGCGGCGGCGGCGGCGGCGGCGCCCCTGCCGCGGGGCCGCCGGCCTTCTCCGGCGGCGGTGGTGGCCACGTGAATGCCTACGCGCCCTCCCATCACCCGGCCGGGCCTTCGTCTGCAGCGGCGGCGGCGGCGGCGGCGGCAGCTCACCTCGTGACGGCCAAGGAAGCGAGCGTGCTTGCCCAGTGGGTCCGCGAGCGACCCTTCCTGCCGCCCATCGGCACGCACGGCGGCCCCTCGGCGCCTCGCAGTGCCGACTCGACCAACGTCGTCGTCGACGACGATGACGATGATGACGACGGCCGTGGCCGCCGCGACGAAACTGACGAGACACACAGCCACCGCCGCGAGTCCGCGCGGGCACAAGGGCCAGGCGGCCGAGTGGCAGGCCAGTGGTGAGGCCAGTGGTGATCATATCACTGCTCGCCGCCGCCGTTGCCACTCACCTCCACCACGCACCCATTATTTATTATTATTATTGTTACTGCCGCTGGTCCCTGACCGCAGGCAGCAGCAGCACCCTCACCCCCTCCCTGATCTACAGGGCGGGCCAGCACCCCACAGAGTGTGATTTATTTATTTATTTATTGTTCCGTCAATGCGCCAAACTTGACCGTTACACACAAAAAAGAAAAAGAAATAAAGAAATACAAAAAAAACAAAAGAGAAGCCAAGAACGACCCCAGCTTCTGCCGGCGCAAGGGCAACACAAACAAACAAACAAATTCAAGGGCGAGGCCGCACCGCTTTTATGAGGCAACCAGTCCTTCCTCAGGGCCATCTATCTAATTGATCGTTCGTTTTTGCGTTGCCGCGATGCTTTGGTGGATTGTCGTAATTGGCGCCTTTCTGGCCTTCCTTGTGGTACGCCCTCTCTTGCGCCGCGATGAGCCACTTGTACTCAGTCGCTGAGCCACAGGCGTGGGGACTTGGGGCCAATGACGTAGCGACAGCGGTACCTCCCCCCTTGGCCCTTGGTGAACTCTCTCTCTCTTTGTGTGTTGTGTGTGTTTTGTATCTCGGAGGGTGTTGTGTTGTCTCGGAGGGAAAGGAGGAAAGCACGCGGTCTTTTTGCCGTGCGTGCGTGCGTGCGTGTGTGTGTCGTGTGTGGTCGAGCGGCCGTCTGACGTGCTCTTCCATTCAGTTCGGACCCTCTGTAGGCTCGAAGGCCCTCACCTTGGGGCAGGCCATCATGCTGGCCTTTGTGGTCGAATGTGCCGGCGCAGTCATCACGGGAAGGGACGTCGTTGGTACGTTGGCCGCCAGCCACGACCGACCGTGCCCCTTGGCACGAGTCTCTCTCTCTCTCTCCCCTCCACGCGCCAGACATGCCACGCCAAAGATAAGGATCGAGGGGGGGTACTGCATTGACCGTCGGTGGGTGGTGGTGGTGGTGGTGCGTGATGGTGGTTTGTGGTGGTGGCTGGTGGTGGTGGCCGGTGGTGGTCGTGGTGGTGCAGATTTGTACAACAAGAGCGGGATGGTGCCCGGCGTCTTCGATGGGCAACCGACAGAGCTGATGCTGGGAATGTGCTCCACCTTGGCTGGCACCCTCTTTTGTCTCGCCGTCAGCACCTCCCTCGGGTTGCCCATTTCCACGGCCCACGCCATAGGTACCACCACACGTCTCCACGCAGCACGCCCGGGGCGGGCTCATCAGGGTCTCACAACGGGTTGCATGTTGCGTATGTTGTGCGTGTGCGGTGGTGCGTGTGCGTGTAGTTGGGGGCATCGTCGGCTTTACAGTCATGGGAAAGGGAATGGCCGGTGTTGATTGGCGGCGCGTCGGGCGCATCATGCTCTCCACTGTCACCTCCCCGCTCCTTGGTATGGCATTACATGTCCTCCTCCCCCCACCCATTGCTGTGCATCCATCTGCTTGCGGCAGGGTGGGTCCTCGTTTTCTATCGTGGCCGGTGGTGGTGGCCGGTGGTGGGTCTTCGAGTAGAAGGACCCTGCAGCGCGGCCCACCAGGGACTGATTGGCTCGACGTATCGGGGGGCGGGGGCGGAGGACGGATGTGCAGCGGCAGCGGTGTCGTTGGTGCTGTTCGTGGTGATCCGGCTGTGCATTCTACGCAGAGAGAATTCCCTCAAGCACGGCTTTCGCGCGCTTCCCTTCTTCTACGGACTCACGGTCGCCTTCCTCGCCTACTTTTTCGTCTACAAAGCTTCTCCCGGGCTCGGTATGTATGGCCGCTCTCCTTTCCTGCCGCCTCAAGCGCGTGCGAGCGGGCGGTTTCCTCCCCCCCCCTCTCCCTTCTCCTCACAACCGTGGGGGGGGGCTGGTGTGGTGTCGCTCCGTGGTCCATGGGGGGGGGCAGGCTGGGACAAGCAGTACACGCCCACGGTGATCCTGGGCGTGTGCGGAGCGATCGGGTTCGGTACGCTCTTTGTGGTCTGGCTTCTGGGCGTACCGCTCCTGTGGCAGTGGATCGACAACAAATACGACGAACAGGGCGAACTACGAAAACACTACTACAACAACAACAACAACAACAAGAGTACGTGCGAGACACAGACACTGCCACCACCACCGGACCGCACTGATACGAGCGAACGCTCTGTCATTGGGCGTCGCGTGCACGTGGTGATTTGCCGCAGGAAAGCGAACGAGCTTTGACGAAGACGCCTTTGAAGAAATCCAGGCGTCCGATGAAGGCCTCTCTCGAGCCCTCATCATCTGCTGCATGCGCATTCCTTTTTTCAGGTGCCTCTCTGCCTCTCGTGCCCCTTCTCCCGCTCTCGCGTGGTTCATGGTTCACCTGATTACGCGCGTGACCTCCGATCCCTGACCTCTCAAGGTTTTTATTGGTGTGGTGTGGTGTGGTGTGTGCGTGCGTGCGTGCGTCGTGTGCATGTGTCCTGTGTGGGCGCGCCGTCATACAGGGACTACGTGGTGTCCAAATTCTTTGAACATAAGATGGCGCTGAAGGCTGCTTTGACGAATGTGTACAACTCGCCAACAAGTACCACCACCCGCCACCACGACCACCAGCCACCGCCGCCACCCACCAGCCACCAGCCACCAGCCACCAGCCACCAGCCACCAGCCACCAGCCACCAGCCACCAGCCACCAGCCACCAGCGAGCCAGCCAGCCACCACCGCCACGCCTCCGTCACCCCTTTTTAGTTTTCACCCCTTCTCCTTCCTCGGGGGGGGGGAGTACTGAGTTGCGTGATGCGCTGGGCAGGCACACGCAAGCATGGCTACGCGTCGGACATCAGCGATGGAGAAGGCCTAGGGTCGTCCGACAGCGATAACGACATGATGGCCGACCGACCCGATTTCTTTAAGAAGCCGATGTTCATGGACCAACAACAGTCCATGGATCTCCACACCGTCCCCATCTTGGACAGCACGGACGACGACATGGAGGAACTGATGGGCAATGAGAGCGGGGTACGTGCCATGATGCCCTGTTTCGCTTCTCGCGCGTGCGCTCTCTCTCTCTCTCTGTGTGTGTGTGTGTGTGGTGTGTGTGTGCCTCTGCTTGCCTCCCTCCCTCCCCCCTCTCATTAGCTCGTCTCCGCCTCGTATGAGCCCACCTACTCCGCTCGGGCTCAACCCGGGTGGTTGACCTCTGAACCGTTCTCACTCCTCACCTGCAGGAACCGGTCGAGGATTGGGAAGAGGGGCAACGGAGGAAAAGAAACGAAGAGCTCTATGCCCACAGCGAAGGATTTGATGCACGCACCGAGGATCTGTTCTCGTTTTTGCAGATTCTTTCCGCCAGTGTGTCAGGTACATATCGCAACCTGGTGTTCGATGTGAGCGTGTGCGGTGGTGCGTGACCAACAAAGCTTTTCCGTTCCTCTTATTAACAACCAACCAACCAACCAACCAACCAACCAACCAACCAACCAACCAACCAACCAACCAACCACGTGGTAGGATTCGCGCATGGATCCATCGACATCTCAAATGCGTCCGCGCCGTTCGTCATCATACTGGCACTGTTCAACGACCTGGAGAATGGCGGGGCTGGTCTGATTGAGCAGGAGCCGTCTCTCCCCTGGTCAGCACTTTTACACACTTCCCTCCCTTGCCCCTGTAGCTTTCTCCAGTTCTTCTCTCCTGTGGAGCCACAGTGCGCTGACGCCTGTCCCTTCATTGTCCCCCTTGTGCTGTGCTCCACGTGTGTCGTCGCACAGGTGGATACTGGGCGTGGGTGCCGTGGCCATATTCTTCGGGTTGTCGATATGGGGCTACAAGATCATGGAGAGCATCGGATACAACTGCACCATGGTACGGCCAAGGCCTTCTCCTTCCTCCTCTTCAACGAGGCCCATTTCCAAATTGCCCATATACAACGTTCGACCTCCCAGATTACGCCATCGCGAGGCTTCAACGTAGATTTCGGCTCTTCCGTAGCTGCTGTTGTTGGTACGTGCGACAACAACCCCCTACGCATGTGTCTAGCACAATGCTCACGCGGATGTGGTGACAGGGAGCAAGTTCCTGCTGCTGCACATGAACTCGACGTATTGTATAGTGGGCTCGGTGTTCGGGGTGGGGCTGGCCAACGGATTCAAGGCGATCAACTGGCGATTACTGCTGCGGATGTGGCTGGTACCTCACCTCTCCCATTGAAGCCACCACCTGCAAAGGCTAATAATAATGGCTGGGCAGGCGTGGGTCTGCACAGTACCGTTTTGCGGCATGGTGAGTGCTGTTGTGTTCATCGTCCTCCAGTACACCTTTGTTTGGTGATGGCCCTTCTTGTGGGCAGACAGGTGCTTGAAATTTATTTATTGTGGTGCTGCTTTCTTTTATTGTCATAATGACACAATAATCATCAGCCTCGTGGTGTACAACGAACGACACGCTCATCCTTTTTTTTTTGATTTTAGCAAAAAAAACAACTTTGAATTCAGAACTGGCCATTGAGGACGAGGCGGTCTGTCTCCGTAGCGATCACAGCACCCATCAGGTGCACCAAGCGTGCGTTGAGTTGCACGCCACGACGCTTCATCTCGTCGTACAGTTCCAGAGCCTTGCCGTTGTTTCGTGCGAGGTGGTTCGCCTTTGTAATCAAACCAAAATAATAATAATAATAACATCCACGTTAGCCATGGCAATGGAAGAGAGGCAGTGCGAGGTTGTAGGTGTGGGGAGGCGGCCTGGACCGGATACGCCGTACCTGGATCAGGTTGAAGAAACTAAATGCATTTATCTGCATATCGGCTTGCACCATTTCGTCAAACAGCGCATCGGCCTGAGACACAAATTATTAGTTGAGCAAGCGCGTGTTGCGTGTTGCGTGTCGTGTGAAATGTGGCAGTCATACATGGGCGAGGGCTTCGCTCACTCCTTCCTGGCACGCACTGTCTGCACCCTGCTCACCGTGCGAGGTGTGGGCTGCCACTGTGGAATTGGGGGGGGGTGAGAGTCAGAGCGGGCGTGGCGGAAGTGCGGGTCCCGGCAAAGCTACTACACTAGTAGTGTCGTACCTTGCTGGCGGAGGCCGTTCAGGAGGTGGTTGCAAAGGTCGTGGCGCGGAGGGAAGCCGGCCGCCTTGTAGTCGCTGTAGAGATCTGTATTCGTGGTTCAGGGAGGAGTATATGAGCGCCGGGCGGAGGAGGAGAACCGAACGTTGCCGTTTGGCAGCAGGTGCTGTGTGCCGCGTACCAAAGGCCTTGCGCATGTCGGCGGCGCTGGCGTAGGCCCGCACGAGCAGGGAGTACGTGTAGCTGTCCTTGGGCACCTCGTCTTTGGTCATCTCCTCCAGTACGGTGCTTATCTCACCCGAGCGGCCAAACTTGGAGTGGCCAGCGAGAATGGCATTGTAGGTGCGAGTTGAGGGCCGGACTCCTGATATTACGCCACCCGCCACCCGCCACCCGCCACGGGAGGATGGGTCAGCAAGCTGCTTGGTGGCTTTTATGCTCGAGCAAGACCTGGCTCACTCCCAATGCATTGGGCATGGAGACGTACCAGCCTTCTTCATGTTTCGCAGCGCACGCCAACTACGATCGAGGGTGTCGGCGTCGAGGCAGCACGCTTCGATCAAGGAGTTGTAGACCTTTTCGTTCGGAGCTGGATCTGCGGTGATTGGTGGGTGGGTGGGGGGGGGGAAGCGTGCCGGCGATCAGATCCGATCGGTGCACTTCTTTCCACCCGCACCGCATGATGATGCACATTGTGCATCCCCATGGGGAGCGTGGACGTACACTTCTCCCGCTCGGCGCCCAAACGCTCCACCCATGCGAACGCTTCGTCAATTCCCTCGGCCTGCCGCCGCGGCACTCAGTCATTCAGTCAGTGGGAGAAGAGAAGAAAAGAGGAGAAGCTCACCAGACACGGTCGCAACCGAGTCCAGGCAGCTGTCGTGTGTGTCGTGTCGTGTCGTGTCGTGTGTTACGAGACCTTCGCAACTGCCAGGACGGCAGCACTGTAATGAACCGCCTCCGTAAGTACGTTCCTGCTGGCCATCTTGCGCAGAACACTGAAGTGGCAGTGTTGGGGAGAAAGTGTGCGAGCGTCAGTGCGCGGTAATACCGCGCGCAGAGCAGCAGTAACGAAAGAGGGAGCTGCGAGGATGAGAGGAGGGGAGCACTCTTGCACGAGGTCCCAGCGCTTGGATTCACCGTAAATGGTGATCAAGTTCTTGTAGGTGGTCGCGGTAGCCGGTAGCTTTTGCCTCTTGGACATGTGGAAATAGATCTGGTGGGCCCGCCTGAACTTGCGCGCACCAACGAGAGATGAGATATAGGCGTCGTAGAACTCCGCATCCAAAGTTGCCCCCTCGTCGACGAGCTGCAAGGTACAACGGGGTGTGTGTGTGTGTGTGTGTTGACGTTGTGAGTTGCTTACAACCAAACAACCAACCCTCAAAAAGAGCAAAGCAAGCACCTTGTCGTAAACAGCATCGGCAACTCCAACTGAATCGGGCCGATTTGCTGCTCGGACGACCCCAATGCATGCGGCAAGGCTGGGGCTCACACCTGTGGTTATTACTTATTAATAATCATTTTTACATTTTCTTTTAAATAGAGAAAAAGAAACCAGGCAATGGAGGTTGATTGATTTGCACAAATTTCCTTGAAAGAAAAAGATATGGGATTGGGGCACCTTTGGCTTCCATGTCGCGCAGCAGGCTGTGCGCTTTGTCGAGCCGCTTCGCGCGAGCGAACACGTCAATAAGGGCGGTGTAGGTGGCAGACTCCAGGGGCAGGGCCTCATGTTCTTTAACGAAGGCAGATGCCAATTCGGACGCTTTGCTGAAGTTCCCCTGCTTCGCCAATTGCTGACTCTCCAAGAGAACATCGTTTTGAGCGAGGCTGTGGGTCGAAGAGAAACGACTCACAGAAGCGGCAGAGCACAGTAGCTGAAGTCCGCAGCTCGCTCCATTACCGCAAATACTCGGCCGACCCGCGAGCCAAAAGCTGTTGCCGTTGATCCGCATGGCCGAGGGAAGGAGTTGCACGGGCGCGCGCCGACCAAAGGCGGAGAAGCGGGACATGGCCTGAGGGAGGATGAGGATTGCTATCCGTTTGGGATTTGTCGGGAATGAATAATTCAAAATAAAAGAAGAGAAAGGGTGTAAGAAATTCATGGGAAGCAAATTGGCGGGAGAGGAAACCACGGTTGATTGGCAGGAGCACTGCTTTCTAACCAAGCCGCGTAGGGATCGATGATGGATACGCAAACTCCCGTACATCCCCCTCGGCCGTTCGAAATCGTGGTGGCTGCGTCTGTCAATGGCGGAATCGGGCTGGCAGGACAGTTGCCCTGGCAATTGCCTCAGGAGATGGCCAGGTTCAAGGCCTTGACTCTCAAAACAGCAAACGATGACCACTCGAACGCGGTCATTATGGGCCGGCGGACCTACGAGTCGATCCCCGCGAAATTCAGACCTCTCAAGGGCAGGGTCAACATCGTACTCTCGCGCGACCAGCATCGTAATTGTGTCAGGTGTGCTTCCATCCCTCTCTTTGCGTTTAATAATGCTCAACATGTTTGACACTTTCTGGGACACTCTTCGCATCATGCAGTTTGCCCGACAGCGTGGTGGTGGCGAGTAGTTTTGACGAAGCACTCCTGGCCATCCAGAGCATGGAGAAGGTGCAAACTTGGCCACCCGGTTCCGCAAAGGTAGGACAGCCAACAGCTAATCTACATAACAGGTCGAAAGGGTGTTCGTTATTGGTGGGGCTCAAGTCTACGCGGAAGCCATAAAGCATAATGGTTGCCAGGCGATTTACCTTACACAAGTGCGTCCGGCAGTCTTGCTCGACCAAGGTCGTTTCGCCCAGTCTAGTCGTGTCTGAAGACTCTCTCCCCCCCCTCTCCTCCAGATCACGTCTCCCGAGTTCGAGGTAGACACCTTCTTTCCGCAGATTGATCCGCACTCTTTCAAGCTCGACGCCAGCTATCCTGAGCAAGGGAAGGCGCATGAAGAAAAGGGCGTCACGTATGAGGTAATCACTGCTCGCCTTCTCTTCGAAAAGCGGCCTAAAAGCTGAAGGACTCGGCACGAGTTTTGTTCAGTTTTTACGGTATGTACGCAGCAAGTCCGTTGGGCCGCATGAAGAAGAGCAATACCTTCGGCTTGTGCACGCGATCATCAAACATGGCAACGACAGAGACGACAGGACGGGAGTTGGTGCTCACCTCCCCCATCACGGTTAGGCGATCTGCCGACCATCTCGCTCGCTCACACATACTCACCCTCTCTAACACAAATCCGTTCCTTTTGGAAGCACAGGCACTCTCTCTCGGTTCGGGTGTCAGATGCGGTTTAGCTTGCGGGACGGCACCTTTCCTCTCCTCACCACTAAGCGCGTGTGGTGGAAGGGGGTGGCCGAGGAGCTCCTGTGGTTCGTGTCGGGCTGCACGAATGCCAACACTTTGGCAACCAAAAGTACGATGAGCTTCGGCACAGCTGCTTCTATAAGTCAGGTCGGGTGGCTTACCTTCTTTGGGGATGCGTTGTCCTGGTACAGAGGTCAACATCTGGAAGGAGAACGGATCCAAGGACTTCCTCGCCAAGTGCGGACTTGGCCACAGAGAAGAGGGAGACTTAGGTACAGTCTCCCCTCCTTGGTCTCGTCTCGTCTCGTCTCTCTCTTCGATTTGGTGCACAGCTGGCTGGCTCACTGTTGGAACAATGGCCCAGGCCCCGTTTATGGCTTCCAGTGGAGGCACTGGGGAGCAAAATACGTGGACATGCATACCGACTACTCGGGTACCGACGACTGGCCTGTCCAACCCCTCACACATGATGTAACATTCTTACACCGCGAATAGGCCAAGGGCATGACCAGTTGGCCGAATGCATCGCACTCATCAAACATAATCCCACATCGCGTCGTATCGTTATGTCAGCCTGGAATCCGACAGACCTCAAGGTAAGGAGACTCCCATCCCTCCGCCCTGGAGAGCCGATTACAACGACCCTTGCTTGTGCAGGAAATGGTGTTGCCTCCGTGCCACATGTTTTGCCAGTTCTACGTTGCCAACGGCGAGCTCTCTTGTCAGGTAAAGCCCAACCAATGCTGGCGTTTCACGTTTTTGTGTGTTAACTGGCAAAACCAACACCAGATGTATCAGCGCTCTGCTGACATGGGACTAGGCGTGCCATTCAACATTGCTTCGTACTCCCTGCTGACCTGCTTGGTCGCTCATGGTAATAACGTCCCAACCCAGCAGCTGATCGACAGCACTGACCTTTCTAGACTTTCTTCTTCTGCACCATGCTACAGTATGTGGCCTGATCCCAGGTGAGTTTGTACACACAATTGGTGATGCACATGTGTACAAAAGCCACATTGAAGGTACCAACAGCAAGCCAAATGCACCCAGAAATCAGTCTCACCAAAACTATTGTGCAGGGTTGAAAGAACAACTCACGCGTCCTCCATATCCCTTCCCAAAGCTCCACATCAAAGACAGAGGCCAGAACATTGATGGTATGGATGGACCGACCCACCCTTCACCACATGGCTTACTGAAGAAATATATTCGTTTGATAGGCTTTGTCTACGAGGATCTGGTCATTGAGGGATACCAACACCACCCCACCATCACCCTCCCTTTTGCTGTGTGATCGATCAGCCATGTTAAACAAGCATGAATGAGCGATTCGTTCGAATGTGGAAAAAAGGAGCGATTCGTTTGAACTGGTCTAACGACACGCATACAGCTAGGTTTATTCAAGTCCTCCCTCTTTTTTTTTGAAAGTGAACTTTTCTGCGCGAGCACGGCGCACAAGACTACTACAAGCAGGTGGGGCGCAAGGAGACTAAAGCTGCCATGTGATATTCACGTTGAGCAGACAATAGCCAAGCGAATTCTCCAGCTTCTATCGGGGTATGCAACGAAAACGAGTAACATTCGTTATAGTTAACTCGTTATTTACTCGTTTTTTACTCGTTTCACGCGGTTTTTACTCGTTCCACGCGGTTTTTACACGTTTCACACGTTCTCTACTCGTTTCACGCGTTTGCTACTGGTTTAACTAGTACAACACTGATTAAACTCGTTTAACGCCCTGCCCTGAAACGAGTGTTAAACGCGTTTAACGAGTGTTACGCGAGGAGGTCGCGATTATCCGCGGATGATCGCGATGTCCGCGGGAGGTCGCGATGTCGAAAACAAGCCATCCCCTGAGTAAAACTAACTTGTGCACTCGTAAAACTAGTTGGACACACATTAAACGAGTTGCACACTAGTAAAATGAGCTTGCAACTCATAAAATGAGTGGCTAATTCAAGATGTGAATGGTTTACACTCGAAAAAAGGGAAAAATGACTTGTCGAAACGATGGATGTACGGGCCAAAACCCGCGTTAAAGGAGTAAAAAAACGCCTAAAAAACGAGTAAAATGACCACAAACCACCTGTGGCAACACTGATTAAACGCTTTAAACTAGTTAAACGCGTTTAACGAGTGTTACTCGTTTTCGTTGCATCCCCTTTGTCGTGTGGTGCTAACGCCAGAAACCTTAGTCAAAACTCCGCCCCCAGGGCGGGCTGGATCAAATCCCGGGGATGGTGAGAGACGGTTATTATTTTTTTCTCCTCTCACCTTCACACCACCTCCCCCCACCAACAAGCGCCGCACTCAGCTCCCCGGTTTTGGCATGCTGGTACCACACGCTTCTAAAACGGATGAGCGATGCGTTTGAGGATCGTCCGATTCGCGGTCTCCCGTCCTCACTCTGCTACGAATGCGAAACGAATCGCTCACTGTGTTCACGGACGGGGGGTTTGAAAAAGCAAGCACTCGTGCAGCTGTCCCACTGGTGCTGTTTCATACAATTCCCCCACCTCATATTGCCTCGATAGAAGAGACAGGTCTTGCCCTGCGTGCTCGATTGCTTTGGTTGAACTCGTTGAGAGACAGACTACGCCGTCCCTCTTTCCGAGGGCAGCCCCTGCAACATACACGCCTGCGAATTAATTGCCAATCAGGTTTCCCCAGGTCAAGAAGGGAGCTAAAGGACACACCTCTCACGACGGTCGAGGGAGGCGCGGCGTTCCATTTCGATGCTGGTACGAATGGCACGTTGAAGGGGAGCGTCCAAAGAGCGCAGCATGTGGGCGAGTTGTAGCTTCTTGTGGTCCACATAGACGTCTGTTTCGTCCACAATCTCTCCCTGCACCCGACACTTACGACACGACACACACGACACACGCACGCACCACACACCACACACCACACATCACGCACACGCACGCACCACACACCACACACCACGCACACGCACACACCACACACCGGCACACACACACACGACACGACACATGCATGACACACACATGACACACGACACACATGACACACACACGCGACACACACACTCACACACACAACGAGTCTAATCAGACACTTACACGCCGCAGGAGTACTCGAGATCGACACACATGATCATTTCAGACACGACACGCAGACCCAATAATAAAACACGCGTGTGTAGCTAACGGTCGGGCAGTACCTGAATGAGTTCCTCGAAAACGTCCTCGAGGGTGATGATGCCGATCAGGTCTTGGCTGTCGATGCTGGCCACCATGGCCATGTGGCCTAATGCGTCACCACGGTGATGCGTGTACAAGAGGCAGGGACATTGTCAGAGCAGCAGCGGAACCCCAGCCCGCTGGTAGCAGTGAGGAGGGTATGGTACTCTTGCCGCTCTTGAACTGGTTGAGGATGTCGTAGAGCGGGGTGTCCGCGTGCACCAGCGGCATGTCGACCAACGGCAGCTGGCACACGCGCTTCTCCGCGTTGCCATCCACCCCTGCCATCAATAATAAAAATAGTAGTAGTAGTAGTAAAAAATGGTTCTGACACTGCGACGCTAAGCGATGGCGCGTATGCATACCGACCAGCCTGCGCGTGAGCAAGAGACCGACGACCTGCTGGATGTCCTCCCGGTAGACGGGTACGCGTGAATGCCCCGTGTTGATCACCTGCCCATCATCATCATCATCATCACACCACCACCACCACCACCACCACCGCGCCGCGGAGAGGGCGAGTGAGGTGATGTGCGGTGAGGTTCGCGGCGTTCAGTTGGGACGAAGGAGGACCTGCTTGATGGTGTCAGGGTCGAGAAGGGTGGTCTCTTCGAGCATGAAGGCATTTTCAATGGGCGTCATGGCGTCCTCGGCCTTCTTCTCGATCATCTCGAGAGCACCCATGATGATGGTTGACTCCTCCTCGTCGAGGGCGTGCTTTTCTCCGTGCATCCGCACCAGCTCCTTCAGCTCTGCTCTCTCGCCAACCGCAAGATGCGAGGGAGGAGGAGGGAGGAGGTAAGTAAAATGCCCCTCCCCCCCCACTGAAACACATTGCGGCAGCACGTCGCATCCCACGCGATCGCATCCCACAACACGTGACACGATACATAAATGCGTCATATATACGACGGATGCAGGGGAAGAGGTGGTGTACGTGCGCGGCGCAGGTAGGTGGCGTGCTCGTCCCCCAAGAGCCAGTCCAGGAGCTTGCTGATGGGGAACCCGACGATGAAGAACGCCGCCATCAAAAACTTGACCAGCCTGCGCAATCCCCCCCCCCTCCCACCACACGAGATGGGGATGACACGCGGTCAGGTTGTGGGGGAGGGCATGTCTCGGTAGGTAGGTAGGTAGGTAGGTAGGTAGGTAGGTAGGTAGGTAGGTAGGTAGGTAGGTAGATAGACAGATAGACAGATGTGTTATCTGAGAGAATCAAGCAATCGCCCAGGCGTACCGTACCCTGAGAGGTGTGCCCCGATGGCCAGGCTATACCGGGAGCACAGAGCCTGCGGAATGATTCTGTAACCCCCCCCAACCCCGCGGGAAGAGGAGGCGTCAGTGTGGGGGGGGGGTGGAGTGGGCGTGGGCGTGGGCGTGGGGTACTCGCCAAAGAGGAGGACCAACGTGACGGACATGATGATGGCGAGGAAGGGCGAAGTCAACCGATCGAGAAAGATGGGAAGTGCCTCCATGGCCATCGCGTTGGCTTTCGTGGGTCACCAGCCACCAGCGAGCCACCAGCAGCAGCCACGACGACGACGGCCCACAAGCGGAGGTGAGCACGCGCACGGACGGAGCCGGCACTAGGCCTCCCATTGTGTTGCGGGGGGGGGACGAGGGGAGGGCGAGTACCGAGGAGGAGGGTGACGAGGCACAGGTGATGCCTGCTTACCACGGGTATGATCTTGGCCGCATACCGCTTCTCCTGGAGTTGACGAGACACGCGCCACACCACCATCCACCAGCCAGAGCCAGCACCCACGAGCGAGTAGTGAGGCACTGAGGGTGGGTGGGACACCAACGGGATGGGGGGGGGGTCTCGCCAACAATCTGCCGGTGGTGGTGGCTGGCGGTGGCTTGTGGCGGCTGGCGGTGGCGGTGGCGGTGGCTGGTGGTGGTGGCTGGTGTGGGCGTACGGATTCTGTGCCCGACGCTTCGAGAATGCGGAGCTGGGTGAGGTCCAGCCCCATGAGCCCAATAGTGAGCCCTGACATCGCTCCTGGCGGCGGCGGTATTGCGTCGACGCGAATATATATTTATATGAACCGTCAGCATCATCTAGCCCGCGCCGAAGAGGGCCGCCGCGCCGCCGCTTCCAGGGATGAGGTGGTGGTGGCTGGTGGTGGCTGGTGGTGGCTGGTGGTGGCTGGTGGTGGAGGAGGAGCACGCACCGGCGGTGCAAACGAGGAATAGCACAATCGCGCAGTAGGCGCCATAGAGCAGAGGCGAGTCCACAGCCCCCTCCTCGCGCACGAACAGCTCACCTCCACACATCACCGCGCCCCTTTCATAGTCGTTGCCGCCCGCCCAACGGACCACCAGCCATCACCACCAGCCACCACCACGGTCAGGGTAGGACCCAGTCTTCATGCGCGCGTGCTGAGCGCTACCGTCAGTTTTCCATCCCCCCCCCAAAGGAGGGGGTGAGTGGCTATTTGGGGGGGGTAGGCCGTGCAATACGATGGAACATACCCAGGCAGGTCACCGTGGGGGCGGCACGTAAGAAGGCCTTCCTCCTCCTCCTCTGCGGCCACCCCACCATTACCATTGCCGCCGAGACACAGCACCAGCACCAGCAGGACCCACCACCCCCACCTCCTCCTGGGGGCCGTGGTGGTGGCGGACCACCATTTTCCTCCCCTGCACGCCTGCTGCTCCATTCCGGCTGTTTGTTGGTTTGTTGGTTTGTTTTTTGTTTTTTGTTTTTTGTTTTTTCCAACTTTTTTCAAATCCCCAAACATTTTTGTGGCAGAAGAAGGGCAGGAGGCGGCGCCTCAGTGGTCGGCAGCTGTCTCCACGTTCTGATCGCGGTACATGCGCACACAGAAATCGCCCCAGCACTCCATGACCTGCTGGCCTGGTGGTGGGTGGTGTATGGAGGGTGGTGTAGGGTGGGCGGTGTATGGTGGTGTAAGGTGGTTGTTACGTTGCCCGTTCCACCCGCCGTCACAACCGCTCACCGGATCGGGGGCGGGGAGGAGGAGGGTGCTTACTTACCCTCCGGCACGCACTTGTCGATGTCTCCGCCATTGGCCTCCACGCACGAGTGGAAGCTGCCGTAGGGGCTGGCGCACACGCGAGGAATGAAGCACGCCATACCTTCCTCCATCCTAGCATGGCACAACACAACACACACACACACACACACAGGTCGTCAGAGACTTGCGGGGCTGTGGCACGCGCGCCTCTATTGGAAAACAACCAACCGGCCAGCCACAAAGAGGAGGCGGAGGAGAGGGAGGAGTACCTGGCCTCTTCGCCCTTGTCAGGCTGATCACACTCTTGGACGACCTGCTTCTCCTGTGGAGTGAGTGGCAGCGGTGCGTCTTCCGACGCCTTTTCGAGGTCTTTCAGCACGTCTGTGGTACATCATCGTAAATATTTAGATACACACAAAGAAAGATTGTTTCGCAAAGTGAGTGAAGGGAGGAGGAAGACTCCCTGCTCCCTGCGCCAAGCGCGTCTCTTGCAGCGGGGGTGCGCGGATAATAACAGAGAAAGTGGTCACGGGGTGTGGTGGCTGGTGGTGGCTGGTGGTAATAAGGCACCTTCGAAGATGGGCATGCACTTCGCCTGGACCGCGCTCGGGTTGCCGGCCGTTCTCAGGCACCTGCGAACGGAGCAAAAGCAGCGGGCAGGCGAGCGGGGGTGAGAAGAAAGGAGCAGACCCTCGCCCTGGCCCTGGGTTGGAAGAAGAAGAAAGAAGAAGAAGAACGAAGAAGAACGAAGAAGAACGAACAACAACAACGACGACGACGACGACAGAAGAAGAAGAGGAAGAAGAAGGAAAGAAGAAGAACGAAGAAGAAGAAGAAGAAGGAAGAAGAAGAAGAAGAAGAACCATCCTCGGGCGAGGAGGCAAGGGCAGGACAGGACAGGAGAGGTGGTGCGTGCGTACGTGGTGAACTGCTCCGCTCGCGCGGGGTTGACCACAGATTCCATGCAGAGAAGCGAGCGCAACCGGTAAGGCTCACACTTGCTGCACGCCCCACGGGCCAACGCCACGCGCAGAGGTGAGAAGAGGGGAGAGGGGAGAGGGGAGGAGAGGGACGGGGAGAGGAGGAGGAGGAGGAGGAGCCTCACCCGTCGTCGTGAGGGTTCTTGTACTCACATTCGGCCAGTGCCACGAGATCGGCCTCACAGGACATGGCAGCGTAGGTGGCCTTGTCCTGGCGGGTGGTGGGCGGTGTCGTGAGTATCATCGAGGGGAGAGGCGTGTGCCAGTGCGTGCCGGTGTGTGTGTCGTGTGTCCGGCGGACAGGGGCAGCGCGCGATTTGGGCGGCATGCAGCCTGCGCCCGCAAGCCCGCACCGCCGCACAGAATGCGACGGCCGGGGGGGGGGGAAGGGACACCACTACAAGTAGTGGTTTGCTCTGGGAAGGAAATATCTAGGTAAAGCGATGCTTTTCGCTCCCCCCTCGACCATAGCCTTCCGTTGGTTGTTGTTTGTGATGATGCCGGAAGAGGGACTTGACAGTACCTTGCGAAAGGCTGCACTGAAGTAGGGTGCGATCTGTGGGTGACTGTACACCACATTGATTAAGATTGAGATAAACACCTCATCAAAGTGATTGCTGGCAGAAACTCGTACTTCGTGACTGCAGCCCATCTGATATGTGCGCCAGTCAGATTACGCGCTCGAGCCGACGAATCGCCCGAGCTCAGCCAACTGGTCCAAGACATTGCTCAAGTAGAGAAATAAGTTTTGTTCTCTCTTTATTTTCTGCACAGAAATATTTTCTCTGATAATTTTAATTCAAATGAGTTGTGCTTTTGGAGCTACACACCAGCAAAGGAGAGCAAAGTAGTCAGCATTATCTGCCACTTTCATGCAATGCTGCTATGCTGAAGAGTGTGAGCAAGGTGAACAAAGGACGCTACAGTGCAAGTAGGGCCATATTCTGTTAGATCTGCTAACTTTTTGCAATATCACCATTTTGTATGAATCAATGTTACCAAATTCATGAGTGTTGTCTGGATCAAGGTGCTCATCCTTGTGGAGGTAGTGCATGAGGCCAGATCAATGTTGCAAGGGACATGAGATTGATTACTGTGGCTGGCCAATAATTGCTCTCTCTCTGCCCATGTTGCAAATTCACCACATTCCTTGTATCCCCCCAAGCTGCTGCTGGTGTTTGACCTGCCAAGCTTGCAGACATCTGGATGGGTCACACCACTCACTGGAACCACACCAACATCACCACTCAATCTAGTCTATAACTTGTGGTCATTTGAAATGAGAGGTCACAAATGACGGTGGAATTTTTGTTGTGCTAAAATTGTGTGAGATTTGACATTTTTGATTTATAGGGCAGTTTGGAAGATTTGGATCTGCACATGTGATTTTGACATGCTAGACTGCTGCATATAAGTGATATTGAGAGACTTGAGATGAAAATGATTTTTTTAAAACTTGGAATTTGTGGAGTTAAAAGTGATTTTAGCAGTGTGAAATGGAGTCAGCACAAATGTGAAGAATGAAGTTCTGTCTGTGAGTGCAACTGACTGAATATGGTGTGAGGTTGTACATGAACTGGAAGTGAGGGCACCATGTTGGCCACTGATTATGGAATTGATGGAGGGGGTGAAAGCAAAAGCAAGGTGCATTTTGAGGTTGTTCCAAGTAGCACTGACACAAAACAAGGTAGAGTCAGATTTTACTTTGCGCCAACACGTCTGTGATAAACAAAGAAATGGTAGTTTGAATGTGTAGACATCATGTATGTACATGATAGAGTAAGCATCCAGTTTTACAGTTTTTGTTGTAGTGTATGTGTATGTGATACAACTTTTGGGATGGGTTGGAGTGAGCACTTGTCATGGAGGTTCAAAAGGTACATCAAGAGGTTCACCCAGTCAGCCCAACATGCCATACGTGGGGCGCTGTAACAAACCGCAGGTGCTGTGTGCAATATGCAACACCAACAACTTACTTCCTTCTTTTTCCCTCCTTGAGTGGCTCATGATCAGGCAGTTCTTCAGTGCAGGTTGGGCTAAGGTGACTGGAGTCTTCATCCAGATCAGGCCAGTCTTTCCACATGCTAAGAAGCTGTGACCAGAGCACAGGTCTCATCTGGTTGTTGAGATCCAGTGCAACATCTGCACACATGAGGGAATTGTAGGAGAAAGAGGTGGGTGGGTCAGCAGTCAAGTGGTAGGACCCATCCATTGCTTCATCCAGCCAGTCTAGGAAGATGCATGCACAGGTAGTGCAACTGACCACACCAAGCCACACAGCTCCTTTCTCACCCACAATTGCCACAATGGCTCCATCATCTGGCTTCACTGATGTCAGCTCAAGTGTAGCACTTCCAGTGAGACTGATGGAAGCATTGATGGGCTGATCCAATGGCTCCAGGTCAGAGAGAAGGTCATTCTGAGCATGTTTGTACCCATAAACCCAGCCAAATGGGTCACTGGTGAGCTGCTCTGGAGGTGGCCTATTGAAGAGAGAGACAAGATCCTGGTAGGATTTCTTCATGGCCTGGGCATTGTTGAGCTCAGTGAGGGCAGAGAGGGTATCCTTGAGGATGGCGGTATTGAGCTGAGCTGGGAGAAGAGGAAGGGGAGAGTCAGAGGGACAGAGGTTGAGGAAGGAATAGGGACCCATCCATGGAGAGGCAGAGGAATGGTAGTCCTTCATTAACATCTGCACATCTTCTTTGTGACAGGAGAAGTGGAAGACATGAGGCCTGGAGGTTCCCTGAACACCATGGATATAGGGATCCAGCGAGGATTTGATAGCCCAGCACTCAAGAAGGAATATAGGCTCAGGGTGAAGGTGGGGTGCAGAATACCAGTCCTGCAGACCTTGCTTGAAAGCCTTGACAGTCATGACCCATGGATTATACTTCATGCCAATCACAAAGGTTGAGAACATCTGGTCAATATCCTTGTGGGTGTGTCCCACAGGCAGGAAGGATATGGTGATTGATCAAAACACCTTGTTTAACACCAGCCAGTGGCAGTAGGCCAGCATGTACATGAACTGGCCCTGGTGTAGGTACATCCACAATGGAGAAGTTGGCCATTTTGTTCTTGGAGATTCTGTAAGCAAGCATGAATGCCTGCCTGCAAACATGCTACTAGTGTAGTGAGGAAGCTATCTCCAATGAGCTGTGGTGTGGACATTATCTGATGATGTAAATGGTAGAGTTGATGGTGGAGTGGTTGGTTCTCCATCAATGTCCTCAGCCATTGGTGTGAAGCTGCCTGGGTCATGCCAAGATATCAGATGCAGCATGCTCATATATGTGATACATCAAACTTGCACAGACAGAGCACAGAACAGCAGGGACTTGCAATGATCCAATTAAAGTCCAATGCCTCAACTGTTGAAAGCACTTTCACTGCTGGCTGTGGTGTACAGCAGTCCACTGAATCCATGATCTGCTGGCTGGATGTAGCCAGCTAACCAGTATCATTGCCACACACATCCAGAATGAGGGAACATAGTTAAATCATTGTGTATGTGATGATAAAATAGGAATTACAACTACAGGTTACATATTGTCATGATAAATAGAATTTCACTTGGTACATCAAAATTTTGATAAAGAAGGTCAAGAATTACAGGAAAAATCAAAAAGAAGTATGGGACAAACCAGGATCACCATCCAATGCTTCCATGGGTGAGCAGTTGAGAGATGTGGTGGGGTGAGAGGGTAGGATAAGAATTGAAGTTAGTCTCAACACAAACCAGTCTAGAATTTAACCAGCAGCCAATGACATCTTGCCCATGAAGACAGTGAAATTTCAGAGTGGGCTGTCACCATTGGTGGCCTTGAGCCTAACACTTTTTAAGAAATGTCTGCAAAAAAGCTCATTGGTTGAGTGTAGTCCTTTTAAGGCTGAACATGGTACAATGGTCATTATTCTTTTCCAACCTACACACAACAACATGAGTGACAACCTTACCCAGTCTGCAAGTGGCATTCAGTCCATGGTAATGACCTGCCACAATGCAGCTGAGCTTGCCAAGTGGATGGTCAAGCAACTGGAGTGGAAGAAGTGGAAGGAGAGTGACCTCAAGAAGAAGAGCCTCAGTGAACTTCAAAACATGTGCATGGTATGTCAATAGCACAGTTTGTTTAATGAAAGTAGTTTCTATTCAACAATATTGACTCTTATAATTAATTATAACCACCATTTTATATAAGTAATTTATTGTGTATGTGATATATTCTCATCAATGAAGCTCATTCTTGACTCAGCAGACCATACCTGAGACTCAAGAGCAAGAAGCTGAAAAAAATAGCACCACTGGAGCCAGCTCCACCATGGAGATGTCACAAGATTTGCTTGGAGCACCAGAGGTAAGTGTGTTTGATTTTGAATGAAATGTAGTCCTTTATAAATCTCACCAATCCTGTACTTTCTTCAGGTTGATGCAACAGCCCAAACAACATCTGCCAGCAAGGAGCAAGTAACCCTGCCAACTGCCATGGCAACTGATGAGGAGCTGTGGAAGCTCCTGAAGGAGGTATGCTTTTCATACTGTTTGTGAAGCCAATTATGCACCACAACTGCAGGACATTCTATTGTGTACATGTATGTGATAGAATGTTTGCTAATTCATCTCCTCCTAGCCCAGAAGAGGAGCTCTCCATGCCTCCAGAGGAGGCCCTGCTCAAGCATTATGGTGTCCTCTGTGTGGATCACATGAAGATGAACACTGCAACAATCAACATCAACCAAATGACAAAGAGTGGCACTCATCAGTTGGTGACTGCTAGAGGACACAGAGTTCTCTCAACATTGATGAATGAGATGGGCGTTCTGACAATGGAGCATCTGCTTGTTCAAGAGCTGCCTCCCTCTCAGTGCATCCTAAAAGATGGGATGCCTGAGTACTGCATCATTGTTGGCAATCATCATGTTCAGACTGCATGGTGGCTTTTCCCTGCCAAATCTGAAGAACCCATGCCAATCACGCCCCTCTATCTTCACAATCACTCAATTTCCAATCCAATTCTGCTTCATGCCTCAAGCACATCTCAACTGAACAGCACAAGCAGATCCAAGCAGGCAACAAGTACAAGATCAGCAAGAATGGTATGCTCCCCACCAGTATTTCTTATAACTATCCCATTGTGCTGACTGTACTCTCTTCCAGCCTTCAAGGAGCTCCTCATTGCCTGCCAGAGAGGTGTTGAGTTCCTGAGCAAGGTGAGAAAGGTGGCTACATGCCTCATGGATAGGGACTTCATCCACCTCAAGAACAAGGTGGCTACTGGAGAGTGGGTATGTTCTCCTTTTGCATAGTTCTTTCATTGTAGTCAATATTCCCTGAAGTGTTCTCAACTACACTCCACTTTGTGCTACTCCACTTCAGGCCTGCTTCCATCTCAACTTCAGCTACCACATCAATGGAGCTTCTGCACAACTGAATGAATCTGAGACCAACATCATCACAAGTGCTATCAACAGCATCCTCATTCACTCCAACCCATCCAACATCACATCCTGGACTACAGCAGCCCAGACTGCAGCATGGCTGCATTTGCCACACAGGTACCCCCCCACACAGCACCACAATTTTCTTTATCTTCTGTTTTCTTATTTTGCAGCAACCATCACACCTCCAAAAAAACACTCCAAATCCCCTTGCCCCCTTGCAGAAGTAATATTAATCAGTCTGTTAATAAATATCCAATGAATCCCATCATGCATCCAGTGAATCACTGTGTGACATCCACCAGCTGCCCCACAGATGTCCAGTGGCTGTGCTTCTATAGGGGTTGACACTTGTTTGGTGCCAATAACATGCTTTTCTTAAATTTGCCTTTTTGTAGCTGCTGTTATGAACCCCAACTAAGGGTTTCTCCCAAGAAGGGTGTCAAAAACCAGTGGCTCATCACTGGTAGAACCTTCCAAAGAGATGGGAAAAGAAGCTGAGGAGTCGCAATACAAGCTCAGTGGCCTTGATCTGGACTGCCCAGGCCACTGCTTCCCACCGCACCCACACCCTGTGTCGCCACGAGGGATCTTTCCAGGGCAATCTTATTAGAAACAAAAAAACCAGCCCCGCACAGAGAGGAGCACGCACCCATCTCAAGAGAGTGAGCAAGAACAGCCTTCACACAATACTTGGCGGTGATGCTGTACGTGTTCACCGGATGGCCCAGGTCCCTGTTCAGCGCTCGCAGCAGATCACTTGCCAACACACACACCACACAACACACAACATACACGAGGGTCAGGCCACCAGCACTTCCGCCACCGCCACCTGAGGGCTGCGCAGCGAGTACTTGGTCTTCAGCAGCAGCAGCAGCTCTGCATAGTGGTGTAGAGGAGGACAGGGTAAGCACGTGGCGTGGTGGTGCGGTGGGGTGGGGTGGCGTACGGGAGGGCACGGTGGCGAGGATGTCGTTGATCTCCTTGAACCGATCCGCGGCGTCAGACATGAGGTGCCTCTTCTCCTCCTGCGTGATCGGTCGGTCCAGCTCCTTCACGCTAATGGGGTGTCTCGCACATGAGCCCGCTTGACTCGAACAAGAGGCGCTTGTGTAGGTGCGTGCGTGCGTGCGTGCGTGCGTGCGTGCGTGCGTGCGTGCGTGCGTGCGTGCGTGCGTGCAGGGGGAGACAGTACCTCTCCCAGGCTCTCGCTGTGAGCATGCAGGCAAACAATTGGTAGGAGGCATCCGGTCCGCAGAGGATGCGGGCATAGTCCTTGATCTTGGCCTCGTCGGCGTGGATGATGGCCACCCATAGGTTGCAGTAGTTGATCCGAAACTCGTCGTCGAGCTCCCGGTAGAGGCCGTGGTCCAGCAGCACCAGCTCCGGGTCGTCCGAGCTCGGGTCGTGCGGTCGCAGACGGCGGATGAGCACGTTACCTGCGCCCACCACCCGCCGCAGTATAATAGAATAGAAAAGACAAGAACAAGAACAAGAACAAGAACAAGAACAAGAACAATAACAATATATAATAATAGAATTAGTAAGCACCCCGGGGCACACGGGCATGACGGGCACGACGGAATTGGAGAAGCGAGACAGGAGGGGCGATCAACGTTGAGCCCAGCAGGGAAGGACCCTGTCCCGGCGCCGCCAGCCAGCAATCCATCCCGCACGATGGTGATGATGATGATAAAAAAATAAAATCTCCTCTTAATCAAGAGGAGGGGGGTAGTACCGGGGTGAGGGTCGCAGTGTACGAAGCCGTCGAGGAATATCTGCTTGGAGAACACCGTGGTGAGCAGCTCCGCCACCTTATGCGTGGACAGACCCATCCGCGCGATACCCTCCCTACATGCACGTTCGTTGGAGAGAGGGCGAGATGCAATAGAAATAGGAATCGACACACACACGCCAAACAGCAAAAGGGGGCCACGTGAAAGGAAAGCAGGAGCAGGTCCTCTTGTGGGATGAGGGATGGGGGGGGGGTGGCACGACGTACTTGTCGTCCAGTTTAACGCCGTGAATAAAGTCCATCGTGAGGATCCGGCTCGTCGTTTTGTCCTGGGTATGTGGTGCGGTGTGGTGTGGTGTGCATGCGTGCAGTCCAACGGCGTTGATGTCACACACCACGCAGCACGAGTTTGGAGTCGTGAGAACGCGGCGCGTGAGACCCCGCTTACCTTTTCACTTGGGTATCCGCGTGCGTGCGTGCGTGCGTGCGTGCGTGCGTGCGTGCGTGCGTGCGTGCGGAGAGAAGCACGGGAGGATTGGGGGAGGGGAGCAGGACCCAGTGGATGCGGGGGATGGTAACGTCGGGGAACTCGCGGAACAGCCTCGCTGTCTTCTCAGCATTCTTGGCTTCGTGCGCAAAATCTTGTGTTGATGGATTCGCCGGATGGGGGGTGGAGGGGGGGAAATGAAAGAAGTTGAGAGAGATGGCAGAGACGGGGTAGGGTTGGGGGTGGCCAGGCGTACCCAGTTCGAGGGGCAGGTTCAAGCGGAACTCTCCGACCAGCCATTGAAAGTCAAAATCGGGAAATATCTGCACGTGGCCCGCACGCGCAAGTCAGCAGCGACCAGCCATCTCCCTCTCTCTCCCCTCCCTCCCTCTCCTCTCCCTCTCCTCTCCCTCTCTCCACAAGTGACGGCTGGCGGGAGTACCTTGCGCATGGCGTCGACGAGAAATGCAATCGTGGAGACGTCGCCCTCGCACCGCTCCCTCAGCTGAGGGAACTGCACCTTGACCGCCACCTGCATGAATTGGGGAGGGGAGAGGGTGAAGCACCGGCGAGCACGGCAGCCCCCTCTGGACGTGAGCGACACGTGACGGCGCAAACCACCTCCTCCCCTTGGCGTGTGTGTGTGTGTCTGTGTGTGTGTGTGTGTGTGTGTGTCCGTGTGTGTCGCACGGATGCGCACCTCCCGGCCGTCATGAGTGCGCGCACGGTGGACTTGAGCAAGCGAGGCTGCTGCCACAGG